CCCCCTCTCAGTCTTAGTCGTCTCCTCTGGAACGCCCCAACAACAATATGTGTTCCATTAATATCTATAGATATCTCATGATATCTTCACTGCCTTTCCATTCTGTCAGAGCCCGTCACGGGGAGACTACACAGTCAAAGTCGAGATGCTAGGGCTGCTAGACCGTGGTCAGCCACAGGGTCGACCAACCTTCATGCCCTGAATCATGGAAGCAAGGTCCAATTGGGCTGGCGTTTCCTTCAACCACTCATGATAGGTCATATGAATGTTTAAGGGAGCCCTGCTGCTAGGATTGATTTCAAAGTCCACAGGTGTGAGGACGACATAGCGGCATGTCAACTTTTCCTGAAGGTCGAAAGCAACACATACCTGGATCTTCAAACGGCACTCATTTTTGCCGGAGGCATTTTTCCGTGAAAGTCCGCCTGCGATCAAAAACAACATGCCGTTTTTAGGGGTTGCAAACATGTGCTCAAAATCCATGGACGGGGAAAGACACCGTTTGGACGCCTAAAGACGCCGTTTAGAAGCCTCAAAATGCAGTGTCTTTTTGTGTTCTTAAAGAGGCAATTATTTGTGCCGTTTCGAAGATCCTGGTATACCTAATGTACCTAATAATCCTAATACGGCACCATGATTTGCAAGATGTTTCTATCTTTCCAAAGTAGGTGTTTAAACCGTGCTTGGGCGGTTCTTCTCGTTTGGGTGGCAGCATCCTGCGCCACCTGTATAGTCTAGTGTCCGAGAAACGGGGAGGGGCGTTGGAGACCAAGAAGCCAGTCCAAGGGGTTTGCTCGGAACCATCATCGCACGTGTCCCAAATGGACGAGTACTCAGGCTTAGCTCGGCGAACCAGGCACACCACTTCGCACCACATCGAGGCCGAGGGTTGGGGTTGGTGACGAAAGCTAGGGCGGGGGTGAAGCGGGTGACAGTCGGCCCACTATGCCAGCGGGGCCCCCCGTACGTATGAAGTGTTCACGCGATGGAGGCCCCCCTCTCTTGCTAAAGCAAGAACAACTCCAGCTAGCTGGTGCTAGCTTTCGTGACTACACCGCCAAGGTAGACCTACCAGCATACCTTGATACAGATACATCTTTCTTCTAAGAAACAAACACTCGTGAAACGGATCTCTCATGGATAGGGGGAACACCGTTTCGACTCAAGTCCGCCCAGCACTGTGCCAGACTCCAGCCCCGACTCCACCAGACTCCAGCCCCCTTCGCGGCCCCGGGCCGGGAGGTCCATGTGGAAGGTGGGCTTCGGCCCCATCGCCGGGCGGTCCATGTCGGACACGTAGAGCGCCGTCCTCCGGCGAAGCGCCCGAACAGCGCCCAAGAATCGCCCAACCACTGTGTGTCCCGAACAGCGGACTTGAAGAAGAAGGATGGAAGAAGCCAAACATCTCCGCTGGCCAAACCGAGTTGACCCAAGGCTGGACAACTGCCAGGTCCGCAATCACACCAGGTAACCACCAATGTGTTGCACATAGATAGATGACGCCAGAAAGCCGCGAAATGAGAGTCCAACAACAACAACAACAACAACAGGACCAGCACCAGCAACAGCAACAGCAACAGCAACAGCCCCAGCAGCAGCAGCAGCAACAACAACAACAGCAACAGCAACAGCTCCCCCCACAAAACGCCTCCCAGTGCCCACAGCTGCTGCGCTCGCGCTCGAGCTCCCAACCGCTCTCCTGTTGCTCTGGTCCCGCGTGCTCTTGGCCACCCCAACGCCCGGAGGGGAACGAATGGTGCTCAAGACCTGACGCGGACACGGACACAAAGCGGACGCTGTCCCGCGGACATGGGTGGACAGAGGCAGCGCAAGTCGGTTGGGAGCTGACCGTGGGTTGGGCAGCTTCAAGAAGGACCCATAGCAAAGTACTCTCTACGGAATATAGTTGCATTATGTTGCATTATCATGCAGTTACCCCATGAAAATGACCCGTCCATGTAGTTAAGAAGCCCAGTCCTATGGATGCTCAGGGGTAGCAAGCCAGATTCTTGGTGTCTCCCGGTTCCACAATTGGCTTCATGGGCTGGACTGAGAAACCACATCTTTTCCATAAGGGCCTTCTGGGCTGGACCGTACACAAGAACATCTCTATTCTCCAGCTACGGGAGGAAGCTTGACCCCGAGGAAGCTTTATCCGGAGTTCACGGATGTGTCCAATAAATTGTCCACCAGTCACCTCAAAAAAAACAATTATATATATATATATATTATATATATAGTGGTTTCAGAGTAGATTGCACAATCCCCAAAAGGTGGTTTAGAAGGACCCCCGTATAAAAGACATTTTTGGGTTTGTGCCATCTACTCTGAAATCACTGTATTATATAATCTAGTAATATGCGTGATGGTGCTGCTGGGACGAGATGTCTAGGCCCTGGCCACTCTCGCCTCCAGCTGTGAAAAGCCCATCGGCCCACCACAGCTTAATCAGTCCCTCACGATGGACCAGGATGGCCTGTTTTCCGATGGAGCTGAAGACTTTGTCTTCAATGGCCAGCAATTCCGTCGGCCTGGTGTGGGAAGGTGTGGGAATTGGGACTGGGCCAAACATGGCCAAACATGGCCACTAAGTGGCGGTGGTGGTTCGTTTTTCTGATCTACCAGCACCTCAAGGTCTGTTTTCAAGAACATGGTTGGACCCAAGGACTAAGGATCTCAGAATGTCTTGTACTCAACACTCCGCCATCTCTGCCCCTGTTAGGCCTGCATTCCTTCCTGGTCAATCAGGGTGTGGATCAAACAGTCTGCATCCAAAAGAAAGGAGCCAACGATAGTCGGTCGGTGCTGAACCCCAACCGATCGACGAAGAGAGACGTCGACTCCGTCGGCGAACGGGCTCCCGGGCGGTGGATTACGGGGGCTCTTCCCGCTCATCGACCAGGCCTGAGAAGCGAGTCGTGGGCAGAAGTTTACACCGTAGGCGACTTGAGCGGCTGGGTTGGATAGGCCGCTGCCCTCAGTCATCCACTCACTCGATCTCACTCTGCCAAAGAAGGGGCTTCACATGACCATCCACTCCCTGGCCTCACTTCGGGATAGACATGTAAGCATCCGTCTTCACTTGATCGTCCGTCTTCATGGAAACCCTGCAAAGCCACCGGTGGAGGTGCCCACCGTGCCCACCGTGCCCACCTCCTCAAAGCCTCCGACAGGCCCCTCTCCGGTCCCCCGGGCCGGCGCGGTGCGGCGTGGACTGGTGGGCTGGTTGCCCAGCGAGGTGGCCGGAGCATGGGAGCCTCCGGAGCCAGGGTCGCCTTCCCCATGGTGGGAAGCATCAAACGACCCGTTGGATGGAATTCCTCATGTTCTTTCGTTGGGATTGGTGCAAAGTCGCTGCGCGCAACTCTCAACTCGCAAGAATCGGGCAGCGTCTTTACTTCACAAACGTCATCACACTACGTATACTGATATGTACTGATTATCCAGACCGACCTCGGTCGCTAAACCCCAAAAACCAACACCTGGACCTGCACCCCGCTCGTCCAACCGACCGCTCCTGGGCCCAAGGTCCTGGGACTTCCAAGCTGCAACGTCTGCACCCTGCGCCGTGCCAGAACCCGGCGTCTCCACACGTCCCACAAGCCCACCACGTGTGTCCCAGTCTGAGGAGCCATCTGGGTATGGACATCGGTCAAATATGGTCAAAAGGAACCGATTAATTGAATGGTAAACGACATGAGGACGGAGGTCTCTACAACTCTATACAGTACAGTGATACATAGTGAGTGGTGCTGGCACTTGTGTTATCGTCTTTTTGTTTAAAGTCCAAACTCAAAGTACCTCGCCGTGCTTCGGTTTTCCCGCCTGGTCTCCTCTTTCGGCTTCCTCATCTTGGAGGCAAAGGAGTACGCCGGCCTTGAGTCGACGGTCTCTCGACTCGGTTCGAAGGTGTGGACCGACTGTGCAGGACCATGGCACGAGGTGTCGAACACCTCACCGTTTTCCGGCCAGGTGGCAGTGGATCCTATAGTTTTTGGGGATGTATAGGGTCCATACACATCCTATCAAGATCCATCAACCATCATGAATCCCGAATTCTTCAGCCAAAACAGTCATCACTCGAGTTCGACCCAACCCGGTGCGATCCGGTAGAGCTCGCAGCTCCTCATCCGTCTTCGCAGACCGCAAAGGACTCGCCGCGTGTCGCGATCCGCATCCGCGGCTGGGGTCTCCGAGCACCGTCTTGTGGATCTCCTTGGGAAAGTACTCCAGGGCTGAGGGTGATTCCATGCCTGTCCAAACGAAGAAAAGCGGGCCACTTGAAGCACGAAAGTGCTTGGATCACTTCCAGGCTGCTTCGGGTTTGGATCATCAGATTTGTGGGGTGGCTCAAGGTTTCACCCCGATTGCACGCCTGTCTCCGCTTGGTCCAGGTGGAAAAAGAACCGTGCTTGAACGTTGCCACTACATGAGTATCGTATATGGGGTGGGTTTTCCCTCATCACTGGGTGCCCTCCAGAACATCCTGAAGCATCATGTCAACATGGAGCCTCTTCCTCAACGAGTCACATGCCTCTGATCAAGTTGGATGCATCTCTCAACTGCGGTTGAGCCTGGAAATGAGTGGTCCAAGGTTCAATGAGATCTAAGAGTTTTAAGGCTTTTGGTTCTATAAGGTCTATCTCTTCATGTCTTAAGGTTCAATGCTAGGAGTGTCAACATGTGCCAACCCTTAGATCATCCTACCACCTACAAAAGTTAGGCTTTGTGTCAGCGAACCCTTCTGAAGTTCGGTCACCACTTGCCCCGTCACATCGGCATCCTCTCGCAGCCCAAAACATCGACCACCTTCGGTTCCCTCGCTTCGGAAACCCCTCGCGTCGCTCGCGTTCGGCGGTCCCGACAGGTCCCCCGGGCCCATGGCAAGCTCCGCGTTCGTCCGCAGGATCTCTGCATTCTTCAGGCTCGAGCGATCCCTCGCGGTTGGTCAGGCGGTCGGGAGAGCCACCGGGTGGCAGGGGCCGCCACCGGGTACATAGAGAGATGGCCTCTCTGTAGAGAGGTGTACTACAAATCATTCTTTGCCTAGAGTCATGTATACGTAATTATGTCTTAGTCTGTAAATTTGCCCCCAGACATCCAAAGGGTTGATGTTCAAATGTGTTTACACACAATCAAGTTGATGATCGAATGGTTATGATGCATTGTGAGCACCTGGTGACCATAAACCACCCTTTTTGCCCGAACTGCCAGGCCACCTCCCAACTTGCCCGGGGAGTGTTGGATGGTTTCCATTTTTCTTTCACCCACCTTGTGTCCAGCCCACACGGACCAGTCTAGTCTCCCCACCTGAGTCTCCACCTGAGTTTCCACCTGTCTCCTTTATCCCAGCGGCTCAGAACCCAGGTGGACTTGTGGAGTACTGTGGAACTTCACCTTTTGCGTGTCCACCGTCGCGCCTGAGCGAACGCATTCACGAAGCGCAAGCGCGCGCAGAACCCGGTGCCGGGGGCGGCGGAGCCCTTGGATGAGTGCTTCGCACCTGTAGCGACTTCTTCTCTCCAACTCAATTCAGACAATCTGCCCGGCCGATCTGGTGTATGCTGATCATATGTAGATATCTGTAGTATCGTATTAATATGTTTTTTTGCTATATAGTCAACAGGGCGTCTAAATACAGATTGACCCCCCTCTCTCTAAAATTCATATTTGTTCAGAAGAATGGCAAACGCCACATCGAACGGAACACTCCGGTCGCCCATCTCTTCCGCGTTGCGCCCTGGGCTTCGCTTCTGCGCCGCTGTGGCGACTGAGAAGCCGAGCTGGTGAGGTCCACGCTGGAGTCGGGATACTTGGCAGATGGATGCTTCCTGAAGTGGCCGATGGTCCCGTTGGTGGGTCGCTCTTTTCGCAAGATGTCTGATCTGGGATTACGGATGGGTGGTCCAAGAAGAGTGTATCAGCGTATACCTGGTCAAGAAGAGTGTGTTTCGTTGATCAAGAGATGTGCGAAGATCGATCAATCTTCACGTTTGATTCTCTTGGGAGAGCTGGAATTTCCATAAGTGCTGTGCAAACGTTGCAGGGATGGAAGCCGACATTGAGGTCGCTCGTGTCCACGTCATAGCTCTCTGGCAAAAAAAAGAACATAGAAAACAAAAAAATTGCCAAATGAGTCATGTGTGAAGTCTGAAAGAGGTTAATTAGTACTGTGGTGACTGTGGTAGATGAAAGACGCTGGCTAGCTGCCAGCGCCCGGGAAAGTGAAAACTGCTGTATTGTAATTGACAAACGATTTGCGCATCATTGGCGCATGCTGGAGCTCTTCCAAGCGGGAGTATGGCTGGGGAATCCCCTCTATTCCACTTCATTTGAGGCATGCCATGAGTTTCAGGTGCATCCAACGTCTCGAGCGTGCCAAAGCAAATCACCACCAGCTGCTTCTGTTCGCAGCCCCCTGGCTGGCCAACCCTCCACCACTTCTGGGTCTTCAGTCTAACACCCCGAACGCAAGCGCATTCGGCTGGGTCCCAACTACTTCCATCTGGGTGTTGCTGCAAATTATGTCCCTACTTTGATCGACTTGAGGTGTGTTTGATTGTATGTTGACAGCTAGGTGTGTTGTTTTGTCACACCAGGTTATTGCACCACAGTCACGCCACCAGATCCGGGGTGATCCGATCCAGACTTATTCACAACATGCCACGTCATCCGTCACAAACCACTGACAAACCGCTGGGCTGGGCTATGGGCGGCTCTCCCATGTGGACCCCCACTTGCCCAGCCGCCTTGCTTCATCGCTGCCGAACGAGAAGCTGGGCGCAGCGCCCACCTCAGGGTGCCCCAAACCGAGGTGTCCGGGGGGTGCCCGCCAGAAACGCTGGGCGAACCCATCCCAAAAAGCAATGTGGCTGCAAGGCGCTGTGTGGGGTAATGCTCAACCAGCAACCACTGGCGATTGACGACAGGACAAGGCCTGGGGGCTACGGCTACGGCGGCCGCTGTAAAGAGGCCGCCGCAAATCAATGACGCACAGTTTCCACGTGTGTCCTATCCTTCCTTTGCAGTGGGATGGTGCAACGACCGCCCCAAGAATCCCAAACACGAAGGTGTCACTCTTCAAAAACGAACGTGTCATCTTGCAATCATTGTGATGTTTGTTAGATTTCTACTTTTTCATACTTTTTCCAATCGACAGGTTAATATATGAAAGCGCATGCGGGTGATGGGCCGCGAAATTGAAAGCCTGGCACGCGAAAATGTTGGAAAACATTGCAAGTGACAACTCCAACAAACAAATACCGGTGTACGAACACACACGAGTAAGAATAACCCTGACAAATGCCGTAGGCGTTCGTCCAATCTGTGTAGCCTTGCTGCCCGGTTGTCACTCGTGAATCCGTTTTCTACCTGTTGACAGTTAGAGCTGGTTCCATCTGCTACCTTAGTGGCCACTCGCTAGGGAAATCTCCAAAGTTTGCTGAATTTAACGCAGTGAATGTTGATGTCCTGGTGTTTCTACATGTATCTGACTGGCCGTGCGGTGCTGTTTTGGAAGTATGAAAGCTAATCATCTGATGGCGGTGGCACCTTCGGGCGTTCCAATGATTCACGATCTTGTTTTTGGCCGCTGCTCAAGGAAACGATCTGGCTCATGAGTCACGGGCCAAAGCTCGAAAAGCGGTACATCGAGCTGACAGCAAAGCGGGCAGGGGAAGCCCATGCGGTACATCGAGTGACCCTAAAAGCCTTGGAGGCTGAGAGAAGCACGTTGAGTGCTGGATAGCGCAAGAGTGCTCAGATGAAGCTCGCGAGCTTGAACCATTTTCTGGCCAACAGCTTTCACAAGTAGTTCGTGGGTGAAATTTTGCATTGTTCGCCCCGGAACGACAAGGACAGCTTTCACCTTTGAATGTTTATATAAGATACAGAGCGAACACGGCTGCAAAAAAATACAACCCTTGTCAACTATTTCACTTTAGTGGAAGAAACAGTCGAAAGCTTTGCCTGGCGATTGTGCCAATCTTTCGCCAATCGGTGGCAGCGCCGATGGGCGTTTTTCTCAAGCTTCAAGCTTCGAACGAAGTCTCGAAGTGTGAACCTGACGAAGTCTCGTAACGAAGAGAAAAATATAATGATTAAGTGCTTTGGAACTTGATGTTGGTTGACGTAATCCATTTATTTACAGGCTGTGGAGCGGCCGAAAGGTAAGTTAATCTAACTGAACAGTAATTAGTCGGGACAAGTGCCCCAACTGTCGCAGACCTATCAAAAACACAACGAAAAAGCGGAGTGATCTAATGCAAAAACACCTTTGTCAGACACCTTCGTTTTTGGGCCATCCCGATGAAACGACTCACCAATGGAAACGACGCGTTGATGCGCAACGGATCGCAACGGCATCTCTCTGGACGGCGCCCAATCGCGGTGATTTCGGCCCCAGGAGCCGTCGAGGGCACGTGGTAGACCGGGCCAGGCGTGCCCACGCCGATCTGGAGCGCCGAGCGCGACGGGCCGTCGGTTTGCGTATGCCGTGAAGGCCACCGTGCGGGGCCTTATAAGAGACTAGGACTGTGAGATACTGTGGGAAGAAGATGGAAGAAGAAGCATATTGGAGTAGTGTTGGTTGGTTGATGTTTGTTGGTCCTTTCGTTGGACCGTTACCTACAACCATACAGTATAATTATACAATGTATATACGTCATAATGGTTCAAGAATTAATTCACCTTGATTCGAGCGGATCCAAGACCCACCCAAACACCAAAGTTCCAAACACCAACAGACTAAGGGATCTGTCCATATCTGTCCCGAAGCCTGTGGAAGATGGGAGAGCAGTTCCAGAAGGAGGAGCGGAGGCACCCGGCAAAAGAACTGCATGCAAGAAAACAAGCCTCTTCCAGGAAAAATGAGTGGTCTCAAAACCCCCCAGAACAAAAGAACATAAAAAGAACTACAGTATTATATCGTGATATAGTATTTATAAATATATATATATGTGTATTATATAATAAGTGTCATACCGGCAACTAGTGGGCAGGGACCCTAGGAACACCAAGTAGACCCCCATTTTGTTAGGGTCTCGAATGATATCCCAGCAGCCAATCAATCTAGTGTCCTCATGGTGTCTCGGTCCCAAAAAAAACCTGTGGATGTCTGCACGGTAGCACAGGACCTCGTCGGGGAGTGCCGACTTCCGGATTCGCGCGTCGGTGTGGAACTCGGCTCCGCGCGGAGATCCGCATGGAACTGGAAGCGGAACTGGATGGACTATGATGGAGTCCCGTTCTTCTGGAAATGTGCGAAAACTTGCTTCAGATCTCTCCAAATGTCTCCGAATGTTGTCCAAGCGTCGGCAAAGTCTACTCTTGACTCTTGACAACATATATGTTTGATTATTTTGACTTCTCTATTATTGCATGTGCCATCTGTCCAGGGTTGGCTCGTGTTTGCATGTATTATACATTGGCTGGATGTAGCCTTGTTAACATGGTCATTGCACCATCAACCATCAACCCTGGGTCCACTTCACTCCCTCCGTTTGCGCGTTCCCCCCCCCACCTCACGCCTCGAAATCACCTCGACCCTCCACGCCACCAGGCAACACCCGGCAACACCCACTGAACTTCCCAAAAAACGTCTCAAAGAAAATGGACGCCTTGGACTTGGCCAGCTTCTTCGAGATGAACACCTTCACGCCGCCTGAAGAACGACCGACCGGCGGGCGTCGACCGAGCCGCCGGTGACCCGTCGGGTCAGCGCGCGCGTTGCGTCAGAGCCGCCCGCCTTTGGCGGTGCCGAAGGAGTGTGCCGGGCCCGTGCGCTTGGTGGAGTCCGCCTGAGCACCTGAGGGGGTGAGTGAAGGGTCCATTGACCTTCATGATCCTTCATGTTGTCTTCATGTTGTCTGTGAATGGACGAGAGACGATATGATACGATGATCTCCAGCTGAAGCGATCCCAACCGGAGGAAGTCTCATGGATGAGCACCGGTCGCAGGGTGTCGCGACCGGTCGCAGGGTGTCAGACCCAATCCGGTGTGTGAACACCGGAGACCTCGATCCACCGGCGGGCTGCACCAAGAACCCTGTGGATGAAGATGGATGAAGGGTGGAGGCCATTGCTGGTAGGTTGAAGGCCGTCGCTATTGGGTTGGAGGCCATTGCTTCTAGGGTCATTTGGTCATTGCTTCTAGAGCTTTTGCAAACGCCGGGGTCGGCCGTGGCCGTGGTCGGTCGGGTTGCGTGAGAGGACCCAGCTGTGGCTTCATCTCGAGGCCCAAGCCCAGAGCAGAGACTCGAAAGGAGTCCTGGCGCAAGAGGCCGAAGGGAGTCCGGGCAGAGTCAGAGCGGCTGAAGACCACCACTCAGGAGACCTCCGGGACCTAGCCAGTTACTTCATAGGATGCATGTGGGTATCGAGGTACATGCTTGATCTTGGAAAAAGCTGAAAAAAATCGAGTCCTGTTTTTTCACTGATAACACAAGAATGAAACCATATTTCTGAGTGGTCAGCATGATCAGAACAAGAAGCTAACCCCGAGACCAAAGGGAACCTTCATGGCCTGGAAGAGCTGAAAGCTATTTCGTTCCGTATGTACTGTCCAAGTCTTCCCCAGTTCATACTGCCAACACCTGCTATATTGAGCATGTACTGTAACTGTAAACTGGGCATCCTGAGAGTCTCTGACAATGCTGCAGAACCTTGCTCAATAGGCCTACAAGCTGCCTCCGTTCGCCCGTTCGCTGTAGAAAAAAACTTCAACACTGTATTATATGTAGACTCTCTATTTTCAATAAACCCATATATATATATAAGATTATATAAGCTCCCCCAGTTGAACTGGAAATGCTCTTCATATGGGGCGCTTATGCATCAAGAGTCTACATGAAGTGCGTGGTTTCTCCATCTAAACTCCTCCAGTCTCTCCAGCATCTCGCTTTCGTTCGTCACAGGGCACCCGCACCGGCACCAAGGTCGTCATCGGCCGCGTCTCTTTCGCCTGTCAGACAGGGCGGAGAGGCGCTGGTGCCGATGTGGCAGGGACAGGAACCAAACGAAGGGTGCACTAGAGTAGGGAGACCTGCACGAAAGATTCCCTGGAAGGGAGGAAAATAGACCACAAACCCATTGGTGGGGTCTGGGGGGTCTCCCTAATTTAGAACAAGAACGTTCCGGTTTGTCAGAGAATCTGAGTCGCATGATGCCGCATGCTTTGAGCTACACCATGTAACACGGCTGATTTAATTTGGCGGCGAAGGGCTGAGTCCCCACACAGCTGATGTCGCTCGGACAGCGGGTCTGCTACTGACTACTTGTGCTCAGTGAGGAAGAACTAAAGGAATCGGAGCATTGCTGGAAAGATGCGCAGCTGGTTTCTGATGATTACAAGCCCTCAGGTACATGGGAAAACATTCAAACTTGTTGCTGAGAAAACAAGAAGGCAAGAAGCACAAGATAGAAACTGCCAGGTCTTATCCTCCTAATCTGAACTCATGGATTCACAGGTGGCCTTGCATTCATCTTCAGTTCTATAGTTCATGGTCACCCGAAGTGCATGGTCTGGTGTTTTTGCTTGGAATCTATGGCCGGAAACCATCGCCTTTGGCGATGGAATCCGCAGAGCAAAACTCTGAAGCCGGCAATGGACGACGTTGGATATGCCGGGAAACCGACGAAAAGCGAGTCTTAGTCTGTCTTTCAGTAAACCGCTGAAGAGGCATGCTTGAAACCCATTCAGCCTGATTACAGTACATGTTGTCGTCTGACATCAAGGACAAAACAACTTATATATATATATATACACGTTTTACTAGAGAATGAGTTCAGTTCGGATCATCTGTGGTTGTTTCATGTTGTTTCTTGACCTCTTCCATCCTCTTCCCCCATCTGGACGAGCTTTTTCCCTTCGGATCTGGTCGCTTTGGACCTCCAGAAACGCCGCACCCCGCATGCTGCGACTGGCGCATTTCACTGGAGGGGGCGGCAAGGGAGGGCAGCTGAGGATGTACACCTCAGGCGGCAGAGATATCACTGGCCATCACCACTCAATTTGGGTGGCGTTGGATACATGTGATTGTATATAATATGGATTAATATGGTATATAAATAGCTGGGAGGGGCGTTCTGACCCAAAAAACTGGGAGCTTCTTGCACATGGTTTCTTGACTACATTCATGTTGATGTTCAGATGTCATTTCCGATTTCCCATCGACCCGTCCATCCAAACTACTTGGGGGTCTGGCACTCTCTGGCCCACTAGTGGGGCACCTCAGCGACTCACCCCCTCAACCGAGGCTCCAGACGGAGTAAGGCACGGGCTTCCCCATGATGTCCTGGCGAAAACCACTGGTGAACCCGCCAGCGAAGAGCCAAGAAGTCTGCAGAGCCACGACGTTTCTCTGAAGAGCCAAGATGAACACAACCTGTATCGAGAAAGAGGGGCGAGCACTGCAGGATCGAGCGGGAGCTGAAAACATCTTTAAAACCAGAATGGTGGAGAACGCTCATGTGATGGATATCCTGCCTCTTCCACCTTTTATGAGCAGCTCTTGGCATTCAATCTGCGTCGGTACCCTGCCCCATGCACCATACCACAAATTAGGAAGCAAAACCCTCATGCGTTGCGGTGTGGACTCGCAGAAACTGAGCCCGAGTCTTCTTAAGTAGAAAAGGATCAGGTGTCCAAAACGGATTGGTTGCGGATCTCAAATCAACTCGTCACTTCCGTTTCACGCCCACATACAAAACCTATGCTGAATACCGTGTCTTGCACCCACAAAACCACCTACATCCATGATCATCCATGTCCACCTACTCCTCGTTTAATCTAGAAAAAACAAATAAAAACACACCGAACGCCCCATCCGCACCACCCCACCCCTCAGCAAACGCCTTCGGGTGCAGCTCCATGTGGTGCCCCACGTAAACGCATTGGGGTCGACCGACCAAGCCAATGACCCTGCCGGTGACATCGCTGTTGGGTCCGGGGTTGACAAATACCTGTTTACCGACATTGGGTAGTTGTTTCGGTCTATAGTAGGCATAGATTCCAGTCCAGTGTCTGGGTACATGGATACCCCAGGAATTCCAACTGACTCAATTTTACTCCGCCTGGACGTCAATCCATCCACCACTACCAGTTCGGGGTAAAATGAGTCCAAGGATGTCCTATCAGGGTACACTCCCTGGTAGTCACTCCACAGTCACTCGGAGGTATCACTCCCTTGGACTGTTCAGAATATCCTAGAATCACTCCCTCAACGTGGACGTTCACCTCTTTGGTCGTTCTTCGGCATGGATTTGGGTCGGTCTTCCGGGGCCGCTTTTCCCCTCCACGCCACCGTGGGTGGATGGACCACCGTCAGCTCATGAGACCCTTCGATGGGCCACCGAGCCTCATGAGACCGTTCGGTTCAAAGCGAAGAGGTGACACCAGGTGTCCTGATCCGACTCCGGCCTGGTCAGGCATTCCGTCTTGAAGGTGCTTCGGTCAAAGTCACACCTCGCGGCACGTCACGGTGTGAACTGCGTCACCCACGGTGGGCGGAACTCACGGTCTGCGAACGCCGACAAAGGGCCGAAGGACCACTGATGGGCTCCTAATCCCTGAAGTGGTTTGGACCTGGGCTATGACTTCAATGACCCCCTCCATGCACCTGCCCTTTGGTGGCTGCTCTCCTCGTGGCTGTTCGCCCCCTCCCCGCAAAGGGCCGGACCTCCCGGCAACCCTGATATATATATATACCCTAGAAGTCGAACCACCATTGTTTTAATAGCCTTTACCGAACCACCATTGTTTTGCTAAGGGTTTTACACTACAAAACCAGTGCAACCATTTTTAAAATGGTCTTTGACTTCCAGGGTATATAAAAAATTCATTATAAGTTAATACTTTAATACTTTCCGGGGGCATCTAGTTCATGCTCCAAGTTCAGGTCTCTGGACGAGATCTTCCGGTCCCAGTTCATGGTCCACCACAGCGAGGTCCACCGATCCCAGCGAGGTCCATCCGCTGCGCGACCGCTGGGTGGCCGGACGCCTGCGCGCCACAGATGCCTTTGGCACGGAAGAGCTCGTCGGGGTCCATGGCCACACACCTGGGGTGCGACACCCCAAACGACGAGGCCACGCGTGGTGAAAGCCACGTGGCCAACGACGGAAGAGAAACATGGACAAACCCACTTGGTTGGTAAAACATAGTCCTCCACGCATTGTCCACTTCGATGTTTGTTTTTGAGAGGGGAAGACCATGTAAGACCTAATTGTGTAGCTTCCTTTGGGGGTAATGCTTTTGGTGCAGCAGCTCCACAAACGAAGGAGGAGGTTCAACAAAAGTGCGCCTCAAACATCCAAATGTACTTTTGGGAACGGTCGGTGCAGTAGGTACCATATTACCAGCTTATGATAATTATATGCCTTATATCAATTAGCTGTATACACTAATCAAAGGGAATTGACCACCCTATCATAAAGGGCCTATCGATGAATCTATGCCATCAGCAATCCTCCTCTTCAGTTCCCCAGATCCAACTGGGCCGCTCGGCTGCAATTGTGCATCCTCCTGGCAAAAAGCGGCGGCACGGGGATGATTTCTTGAGTTGGTGGGTCTTTCTAGTGTGTTTCTCTTGTTGTGTATTCTGTATTCCTTTATAATTGATAGTAATTGATATATTAGAAAATCTATATGTTTTGCACAAATATATTTAACTAAACCAGGGTTTCAAATACGTAAGAAGAGCCCGAGATTGATAAGGCTAATTGAAACATAAGGGAGTTGACGTTTCAACGGACCAAATTGGGAGCTCCCAAGTCAATCCGCCATTGGCACAGCTCAACGTTAGGAGCTAGAATGTTCATGGGGGGGCCTTGGGCCTGGTTCGCACGAAAAACCTAGACCCATCTTTATAGATGAAGACCCTAGGCCATCCAAAGCCATCCTAAACCCGTTCAACCGTGCTTTGGGATTGGTGCTCATTGCAGCTGATGCGCTCTACTAAAAGCCATACTGTATGCCGTGCACCCATGAGTTTGGACTTTCGTGCGATAGAAAGAATCGATCCCTGGTTGATCACCCCCAAGTCCCCCCAATGCCGCGGTGTCGCATGCGCGTTGTTGGGTCCTTTTTGCCTAAGATGAAGCAATGGTACCTGCGGCGTCAACACTGCCGAGACCAAATGTTGCAATACAAGACATTCGCATCCCTCTGGTGTTTTCCAGAAAGTAGTCTTCCCAACCTCAACAACCTCAACCTCATCACTCCCTGAAGGCATCTACTCCCAGCTACACCTAACGAACCCCCCCACCTTCGTCCAAAATGCGGGCCCCCCCTGGGCTTGAAACACTAATGTAGACTCTTTGATATCTCTTGGTTATATTTCACCCCCATATGAAGAGGAGTGCCAATTCAATTGGGGTGAAGGTTTCTGTACCTCAAGAGTCTACATGTCTCGACCCAGAGGGCGCGTCCTCTTCGGCCGGCCGATCATGCCGTCCGGGACTTCGGGACTGGTCGGCCGCCGCCAGGCCATTCGTTCGGCCCATCTGTGGGGCACCACTGATGTGAGGCTGTGTGTTGAAGGAAGAGCCCACCAGGCGCCTCACCGGACCGAAGCCCGAAGCCGACGCAGAACGCGGAACGCGGGTTCCGCGGAACGAGGATCCGGTCGACTGAGCGGTTCGAGTCGGGAATTCGGTGGAGGGTGTTGTTCGATCGATTCTGACGGATTCGGTTCAAACAATCTGTTCAGCAAACAAGTGACAAGGGCGCTTCCTCCTTGGACCCGGGTCCGTGCCGTCCAAGACACCAAAAAGATCCCCCGTTGGAGCATGCCTTGTCATCCTCCAAATCTGCGAGCCCCTTCGGAGCTCCTGGGAAGAACGGGGGAGTCCGAGGCACTTGAGGGCCCAGAAAGCGCCCATGGGGATGCAGCAGAGAGCTATGTCCATGCCTGAAGGATGCAATCGTCAAACCGCCCCAGAAAGCCAGAAAGCATCGTAAAATGCACCAGAAATAGGGGTGTATCTATAACCCCTATATATTTAACCGATAGAGGTGATCTATATAATTAGGGTGGAATCAGGCATGTCTGTCGCCAGTTTCTTTTCATGTCCATGTATGGATGTCCAGCCTAGGGATCCAAGTACCTCCTCAAAAGGTATTTGGAACCTCTCTATAAACACCTTGCCCAGGTAATGTTCATCAATCATCTTATAAAATCGATGCCGCGCATCCGCCTCGCGACGATACGCGCGACATGCCGCCGACATCCTCGGTTAATGCGGAGTACAGCATCCGTTGGCGCTTCCTGGGTTGGCGGCGTTGGTTGAGAAACTGCTGCATGCTACAACCATTGGTGCATACTGGATCACACATACCCACTCCACAACTGTTCATCAACCATGAAGCACGAAAAGCATCGGCACTGACTTAAGACACTCAATCCTAAATAATGAGGAACTATGTCAGACATGTCACCGATAGCGACTGCATTCGTGCGGCAATTGGCTACATTGCCGCAATTGGTTACAGTATATGAAATGTCTGTACTTCTTTGCTGCCCAAAAAAGACAAATCTGCTGAGTTGCCATGATGTTCTTTCTCTGGAAGAGCCCATAGAGCTCCGCACATTGCCTCTGAACAAGGGACACCCCTGGTCTCCCAACCAAGCAAATGAAAACGCCGGCCGATGGCTATTAGTTTGGACGCCATCGCTAGTAGGTTGGAGGGCATCGGTAGTAGGTTGGAGGCCATCGCGAGTAGGTTGGAGGCCATCGCTAGTAGGTTGGAGGCAGCAAGTCGGCATCCCCGTCTTCGAAAAAATGGCTCAGCGACTTTCTGCCAAGGGGTCTCCTGGTCTCCTCTCCGACTAAGGCGAGCCTTTTCATGCGTCCTCATGTTCGGGTGTCCGCGACCATGGCCGAATTGGAGTCCTGGCCTGGGGATTTTTTTAACAGGCACCCCAGACCAGCAATGTATCAGCTTATAATCTTATAAGACTCGGGTCAATGTCTGCAAGCATTCCAGTCCCATCAGTGGTTTGGGGATAGTTGGATTTCCAAGTTCCACGAATCTCTGGGCGGAATCGTGCACCATCATCTGCCTGAAAAAACCCGTCACGGGGACCGGCCAAATAAAAGAACGACCGCCCAGCTGGAGGTTGGACCGTCATGGTGATCCACCCAAGTGGACATTTTAGAGTAGTCTCCAACTCCCCCCTTCAACAACAACACCTAGACTGACTGGTGCTTAGCAGGGAATGAGGGAATGGATCCAATACAATCTCTATTGGGGGCTCATTCCCTTATTCCCTACTAAGCACCAGTCAGTAGACCTAACACCCGCATCCCCGACTTCCCGCTCATGGCCTGCCGACGTCCGGGTCACCCTTCCCGCCCGCACTGCCTGGCGCTTCGTCTGACCCGACCGGGACGTGGATGGAAAACCGTGAGGTCGAGCATGTTCAAACCGAATACAATGACTCAAACAAGCAGGTGGTGCCATCCATGGGTTTTCCACTTTTCGGTCCAGTCTGGCCCAGTGATTCAAGCCGTCCTGAAAGCCTCCTTGAGTACAGATAGTGCTCTAAGTATGACCAACTCCAGTAGTTCATGACATACAGTTGGTGACCTGTATGGGTCCCAGAATCCTGGCCGACGTCGAAAAAAACCATCCCCATTGCGAAGCCTTGCGAAGCCATTCCCAGAAAATACTACATGGTGACTGGAATATACGTACATTGACCCCTGAAATCAACCACCTGGCCTTACTACTAGGAGCAAGAAGGCTACTAGGAACAAGTGCATCGCTTCTAGTAACAAGTGCCTTACTAGTAGTTAGTAACAAGGACGCTACTGCAAATACTCAGGGACTTCGATCCCGATTGCGGAGCGATCCGGCGATTCTCGACGGCGTCTATATCTGGGCCGCCGGGCCAAAGAACTCCGACACGGCCTGGGGTCCAGGTGACTGTCCAGGTGACCAATCACTCAACAGGTTGGGGGTGGTGGTTGCTTTGGAGTGGAACAAAGAAACAGCACGTTGGGTTGGTTGGAAGTCGGACACATCAATCAGGCTACCAGGTCTGGGTGGAAAAAGAACTGGTCGTCCGAGCAAAATTCGGTGAGGGGTGCAGATGTTGCAGTCGTTTTCAAGCTAAATGAGTGATCTCCCAGTCCAGTTAAACTCTTGTGGACTCAATGCTTCACCCCTGAAGTCTGCAGAGACTTCCACAGCTTGGTCTCTTCAACTTGACCCGCGACCCGCGGTCGAAGAACTCGGCACCCGGGAACATCGCTTGGCTTAGCGGCAGCTAGGCTTCACTCTTCCCAAAGGATAGGGGCGATTAGGGACACCTCCAGACATGGTAGGGTCCTCCAAATAGTGGCTATCTGCACAAACCACATCCCCATTGAAATTCAACCGGTCACTGAGGTACACCCATTCTATAGTATAAAACGACTACCCCCAGCTTCGGGACACATAAATCCTTATAAAATCTGAGTTCTGGCAAAACGACATCTCTAACCCCCTTAGTCGGAATGGAAACCTAACGAGAATTAAATGAACAAATCCAACAACTTAAACATCACAACCCCCATCTCCGAGACAAACCTAACAACTTAAGATATATCAAAAACATCCGTCGATGCTACTTGTATTGTCAAAAAGAGTCGTTTCCGATAAAAGTTTCCAACAACATCCGACAACTTGCAAGCTTGATGTATGAACTGAAATGAACTGAACAAGCAAAACTCGTAAGGATCATCGAAAAGCAAAACCATTAACATTATTCATTGAGCCCAGAGGCTAAAGTAACAAACCTACACGACAGCACCAACCTCACTATAAATTCACAACCCCCATGTGACCATGCAGAAGCTCACGGAAAGCTATACCTTCCTCACACCTCTCGAGAAAATCTGACCTCCCAGGTCAGATGGTGCAACCTCACGGACGAGTGGCTCCATTCTATATATATAGAGAGAATTGCTGTAAAATGGTCCGTTTCTGTACCTGAGTTCCCTGATTCCATAGAGGACATTTCAATCGGGATCGGGCCACTGTATACCTGGGTATACCCATCTGCGAGACGCTTTAATTGATCCACGACTTGGTCTCCAGCATTCATCACCATGTCCTTGCCAAAGGCCTCGTCCACGGCGCAGCCAGGCCCGAGGAAAAGCAGGGATGAAAATAAGGGAATCGTCGTTCAGTTTCACATCTTTGGAGGCAAGTATAAAGTATTGCATAAAATAAGCAATTTAAAACACATAACTTGTACTACAAGTAATGTAATGTATTGTAATGTAATGTACTACAAGAAATCGGTGCAACACAAAGTCGGACTCCTTGGAGCCTTGAACGGGAGAAACGTTGGAAGTGATTTGGAAGCGGGGTTTCCAGACACTTTCGGTGGAACATCCCATATCTCAAATCATCTCAAATATCTCAAACTGATGGAACAAATCCTAACTTTGCCCACCAATTGTCCAGCACCTGTCTCATTCGGAGATAACAGGGTCCCTTCAATCTCTCCCCGGTGTCCTTGGCTTGCGGACCACCAAGCACCCAAGCAATCGATCTCGCCCTTTGGTGCAGTGTTCCAAAAACCGACGGCGATATCGGGCCTTGGCTTTGCCCAGCAGGCCCTGGGGCTTGGGCGGAATCGCCTTGCGGATCGGAGTGGTGGCCGATGCTGTTGACGAGCGTCCAGCTGGTCCATGGACGTCCGTGGACCGGAGTGTCCAGATGTCACAAGGAGTGTCCAATGGTCGCCAGATCCACCACTCTGCGAGTGACGTGGTCGATAGCTGCCCTCATGATGGAAATGAAGTCCTGGCATGTTGAATCATGTTGACATATGTTTAAAAAAATTTGACAGCCGGGTCCAAGAGTTCTTTCTTCGAAAAGGTAGTCACTGTCGAAAAATGACAAATGGTCCTTGGATGTGCCTGGTCATCTGGCCAGATTCTGTCACTGTCTTTAAATGTCTTCTCACAAATCAGTGCAGGCCAGTGCCAGTTCACTTCATCGACCATTCTACTGCCTCTCCCAGGTATCTCCCCCTTTTCGCAAGCGGCTGGCTCAAACATACTCAAACACTCTGGTTGGGTCTTGAGACCCTGTGAATCTGTCTTACACCCAGGCCTCTCGCCCATCCAATTGCCCAATCCCAGGCACCTTCCTAGCCCTCCCAACCGCCGCGACGTCCGGGCGTTTTCGCGGCTTCCCTGGCCACCCGTGCGCCACCCGCGGAAAAATCCATGTCGTCCACCCCGCGCCTTGGGTTGTGGGGGCACCTCTGATGGCAGCGGCAAGACTTTGTCCGCAGCTGGCAGGCCAGTCGCGGGAGCCGTGGTTCCGGAACGTCCGATCTGGGAAGATCGAGGGGTTTGAGCAGGCCGAAGGGGACCCTCAACTGGTCGAAGGGTTTTGAAACATCCATCTTGCTGGGAGTACAAAACAACTTTAAAATTGTCTTTGGGTGACCCCAAAGGGAACGTCCATGCATGAACCAAGTATGATATGGTCCTTGGACCTTTTGGGGCGCCTGAAATAAAGAAAATAAAGCAAACCAACTGAGGTCGACCCTGGTGGTTAGCGCCTCCCCATCCTCCCGACCCACTCGCCACGGCCACGCACATCCGCCGCGAGTACAACGTCTTTTCCACTCCGGCGCTGGTCTGGTCGCAGTGGCGCGACCTGTGGCGTGGAGCAGCAAGGAGTCGTGTCTCGCTCTTTTGAAGCTGGGACATGATCGAAAACCAAGCTTTTCAATCTAAGGAGAATCTAAGGCATCGCGATACCAAGAATTAGAATCTGAGTCAACAGTCGAAAAATAAAAATACCGGCCCAAGAAGTCACAGAGCTGCTCCACAAAGCGACCAGGCAGTTGCTTCGGACATCCGACCCACCATCCCACTGAGCCAACCCGGCCATTGAAGCAGCCATGCCTCGAAAAAGTCCTCCCAAGACGCTTGCAACGTGGAACGACATAGAACGACATGACCCGGTTGGTCCCCACCCCAACAATGACAGGACTACGCACTACCCCTGGAAAGGGTCAAGGACGGATTCGGAAACTAGGATTCGGAAACGATGATTCCTAAGCTACGGCCTGATTCGGAAACCATGCTTCGGAAACTACCCTCTGATTCAGAAACTATGATTCCGAAACTAACATCTGATTCGGAAACTTGGATTCAGAAACCATGATTCGGAAACTACGACCGGATTCGGAAACTACCGTCTGATTCGGCAACCATAGCGGTTACCCCAAAAAGGAGCCAAAGAAAAACGTTGAAAAACTAATGAAATGGCCACACTGCACCCTTGCAGCTGAAAGCGACACGGGGAAACCTTTTCACCCCCACGTCATTATCACCCCCCCCACCCCGTGGCACTATTATTCCCTCGTACCCCCCCACCGACCCCCACTCCCCAAATCCGCATGATGAGGCGTTTGCCGTGTTCGTGTTGAATTTGCTTACGCTTCCGTGGGCCTGTGTTTGATGTGCTTTTCAATTCGTAGTTTCGGTGGCGTAGTTTCTGAATCGTAGTTTCGCAGGCGTAGTTTCTGAATCGTAGTTTCTGAATCTTGGTTTCTGAATCGTAGTTTCTGGGTCATAGTTTCTGAATCGTAGTTTCTGAATCGGAATTTATTCCCTGGAAAGAAGGATTGGAAGTATATTCGCCAGCATTGTCACGAACAACAACATGTGCTGTATCCTGGTCTCAAAAACATCGTGATATCAACATTACCACCATCAACTGAAAAAGGAACCATGAACCATGAAGCAAGTACCAGGTTCCCAACCAGGTGAAAAGATGATTGTCCTCTTCAATGCGTTAATGTCGTTGTAGCGCCGTGCGCAGTTTGCACATGACTGCATTGAAACTCTGCGCTTTCAAAAATGAGTTTGGGGGGATCACAAGTGAAGCGGTTCTTTTCCTTTGTTCTTTCAGCGATTCTTCTTTGCCACTTGCAATTCTCAGTCAACAGGTCGTTTGGCGTGCATGGTCCAAGGAATCTTCGCCACATGCACTGCATCACCAACTTACAGATCTCTGGATGTGCTTTGGTTCCATGCCCATGGCCAATTCTTCTAGGAAATGCTGTGGAATAAATTCTTGAGGCTTTGCCACCCACAATCCGCAATCCGCGCGCCAGCCGCCAGCTGCAGTAGACATCTGTTCCACACACTGGAGGCGGACGCAGAAGGCCTTCGGCTTGACTCTGCCTGCTCTGACCTCCTGCTGAGTGTCCAAGATCTTTTGGTGAAATCAGCTCTGGCCCCTGTAGAACTTGCCCACTGAAGTGCCGTGGACGTCAACATTGCCAGTTGGAGGAGATGCATGCAGCTGCAGCCAAAGCCGCAGAAGTACGAGTGCGTCAGAAACAGATTCCGTTTGCCACATTTCTTGCACCACCAGTAAGCATTGGTGTGCTCCTGTTCATGCAAGCAGTTTTACATGTCTTTGCCATTGCAGGACTCCCAAGTTGTTGGCTTCCAAGCAAAGTATTTTGCAATGGGTACGCACTTAGAGGCGAACGGTAACATCCCAACCCATCAGAAGTGGTAGGCCGCATGTATGAAAAGTATTGTGCAATGAAAGCAAGGGACCAATGACACAAAAGAGAGAGAGAGAGAGGGAGAGAGAGAGAGAGAGAGACAGAGAGACAACATGCGGCAAAAAAACAATAAAATAACTCGTGAGAAAATCACACGGTGCGGCAGGGATCGTGCTCCAAGTACTGAAGCACACTAAGTACACATATAGGCCTAGTGCATTCCAAGAAACCAAGCTAGTCTAGTACCTCTTGGCACGTCCCAATTGAATCACCCGGTCACCGAGCCACACGCCACACCTCTGCCTCTTCCGGGGCGAAGCCTGCCCGCACCAGGCCCCAGACGTTCCGCCCGACTTGGGTACGATTGGGGGTGGTGCGGAATGGTTGGGATGATGGGAACCAAACCAAACACAGAGACCAATGACAAAAACCAGCAACTGCTTGCATGTGTCTGAGCCAAGACCTGTTGGGATGCCTCAGCCTGAGGATTCAGACATGAGAACATGTTGAGAAGCAGAAGCCATCTCGTTTTCAAACACAACCAAAGCCTTACCAACTGCACCAAACCTTGAGATTTGCCTAACCATCAAACATCATTGAACGAAAAAAACACTTACTGCCGCTGCCGCTGCTAGCTGAAAGGGGTGTTTATCCATGTTGCTGTTGGGATGTGTTGGGTTCTTTATCTCAACACGGATCTGTATGTTACTAGGGGAAAAATAGACCATATTTGTTTTGTTTGAACAAAGCAAAAACCATGGGTTGTGCTGCGAGTTGCGCTCAATTTTTTGATCCTATTGTCCTTCTTCCAGGCTTTCGGGGGTCTCCCAATGCGAACACACACCCACATGATTGCTTGATGTTGATTGCATCCTTCTGTGACTTCTGCCAGGCTTGGACCTCACCAGGCTCAATCCTACGCGGGCCAGCCTCCTTTTTACCCTCCTACTCGTGCCAATAGGAGCAAACAAGAAATCCTCAAAAAACCCTATCACATCCCTTCCATAGGGAATTCTGATCACTCCATATCCCTCCAAAGGCACGCGTGGTGAAGGGATCAACCCTATACTATCGCATCCCTCCACTCCAATTCCCTTCCATACGGAGACCCTCCGTCGTCCGTCAATCGCGCGCGCCTGGTCGACACGCGCGGAGCGTCGTCCTGCGGGCGCGGGAAAGCGACGGACCGGCGGTTCGTGTAGCCTATGGGGTGTTCGAGTTGGATCCACACATAGACATGATATTCTGTTACCAATCGGTTTTCTATGGGTTTTCTCATTCTGTTTTCTAATGATGTAGTCTTAATTCTGTATAGACTTACAGAATGATATTCTGTACCACCTTCAAAATCAGTGACCGTCCCTGAGATCCCCACACTGAAACGGTCTAAAATCATTTAGGCACGTTCGGTAGACTCACTCCAGTTCAAAGTCACGGACGCCAAGTTTCTGACCAATTCTAGCGGTCCACACCCTGGCATGTGTTTCTTCTGTGCCAATTCCATCCAATTCCCCTTTCACTGCCTGAGCTCTTGAAAGCCCACATGGATTCCCTGCAGCCGACGCATCACCCAGGCCTCGCAAGGCCGTCGGAAGTCCGTCCCCCTTCCGACGCCAAATCGGTCGGACGAAGAACCCCAAATCGGTCTATAACGTACCCTTTTTGAGGAATACTGGCTAAATTATGTAATATACCCCTTTTTCCCGTGGTTTTTTTCGCCAACACTCGTTGACTCTGATGCCATGGGTCCCCCAGGTGACAGGGTCCTATGTACAGTGAACCTCTCTTCGGAGCAGAGCTCCAACAACGCCACGCCGGCCACGGCGACCACCGACCACCCCGCTAAGGGAAGGTTGGCCCTGTATCACCACTGGTAGAACATCCTGAGAATACAGGTTGTTGTCCCTAGTATGTCATAGTCATAGCTCACTTAGTGAAAAGAGTGTTTGTTTTGTAAACTCGACATGGATGGTCATGGACGAAAACTCGATGGTAGACTGTCCACTTCAGCTTCTTCAGCAGGACTTCAGGGCGATGAAACCTGCAGAACCACTGCGAGCCCCCCGACCGGGAAGCGCTTCACCGAGCCCACCTGGTGCAAATAGACCGGTCCGTGACGGGTCGCTTTCGGCGCAAAGAAGGGTGAACAAACAGCGCAATGCCTTTGATCCACTCGCAAAACGCCAAGCAAGACATCCAGACCGTCTTCCGTCGCGGATCGAGTGTTTGCCAAACAGAAAGTTTGGACAACCATGCTTTGTGGTCCCAAGGGTTTCAGTGCCTTTTCCCAAGCCAACGACGAACCGAGGCGGATGATTTCAATGATGTCTCTATTTGGGAATCATGGAGTCCTACCGCCAGGTACCATATAGATCGACCTAATGCTGGTTCACGACCGGGGGTATCCCCCTTCTATGAATCAAGCCACCAATGGTACAGTGGTTTCAGAGCTTCGATGGCACGGTCCCCAAGCCCCATGGGGTGCGAGGACATCTTTGGGGTGCCAGTGCCATTTCTCACCCTCGAAGGGCACTGTCGCCACCAGGTGTTTCGATGGTGCTTCGATGGTCGCCCGTTTTCCGCCCACCGAAGCTGGTCTCGACCCTTCTCTGCCAAGCTCAGCAGAGAACCCCTTCGACCCATTGGGTTGAAACCTGGTGAAAACCTGGTGAACACGCCCAGTCTCACAGATAGAGAAGGCTTGGGGGCCATACAGGGCGGCAGCCTTACTGTGACGGTAAGATTTGATGGTCCTGTTGGGAGTGTTTGCTACTTGCATCCAGATCAATGAACGGTTTGGCCAAGTCCTGTGGTGACCAGCTCATTCCACCCTTGATGACCGAAGAGACCGACGTTTGATGGGGGTCATGTTGATGAATCAAATCCTCCCATTTAGATTGGAAAACTTCCTCATATGAGAGGGTTGAAATATCATCAAGCGTCGTTTTACACTCCAAAAACCCTCTCTCCCTCCAAATGCTTGGGGCATCTTGGGGCCCTTGGGGCCCTTGGGTACCTTTATTCATCAACGGTCCAAAGTCGGACCAGACGCCAGGGCACCTCGTCGAGAAGGCTTTGCAGTTGGAGGGCCTCGTGGAGCTTCACATCGATGGTGATGGTTTCAAGACAAGGACACAACAGGGTCAATAGTAGGAAGGAGGCTCTTGAAGGACCTTTGGTGGTTCACCATTGTTTGATGTTGGTTTCCATGTGGACAAAAGTGCGGGATACTCCTTCTTTGAGACTTTCATGCCTTGCACGCTTGCACGGATACTGTCCACATGTTGTGCCGTGTGCTGCAGTGCATGCAAGTCCCAGGCGCACAGTCTGCACCCTAGGTGACGCTTTGCTTTAGGAAAACTCTGGTTGCAAGAGTCACAATTCCAGCTGTAGCCTTCCTGCTCAACAAGCGGGCTCATCAAGTGATCTCCAAGAGTGAAGCTACTTCTCTGGAGGTACCCTCTGGAAAACCAGGCTCAAAAGCATCACGGTGCGTCCTCGAATGGATGCACTGGAATCGGCTCTGACGCCATGACAGACCTTGCGGAACGTCTTCATGAAGTGAACACTGGACATCGGCGAGCCGCTGACATCGCTCGGCGACCGAGGTGAGACGACCGGAGCGACGAGCGAACTGGCGACCCCCAGCGCCTGGCTCAAGATCCCGACCACCGCCGCCAAGGCCTCCTGAGAAGGGGACGACTTGGCGCAGTCGAAGCTTGGAAGTGCGGTCGAAGTACCCATGGTGAGCCAAAACAAAAAAGAAACACATCGTAGAAAAAAAACACTGAGGGAAGTCCCGAACAAACAAACAAACAAACAAACATGTTACAAACAAAAATCTGGCCCCATTTCCCAGAGGCCATCTTGGAAGACACACCCATATCTACACCCACCTTCTTGGCCCATGTTGGGCGGCCCGCTGGTCACCAGTCCATCCTTGTTGGGTCTCGACCCCGACCCTGGCCGACTGAAAAGCCCTCCAAATGATCAACAAAACGATGTACCAGGACCTCCTATGGGGTCCCTATGGGGTGTCGAAATCAGAGCCCCCCCCCCGCAGAGGTTGTAACCTCTGACTGACTTCCCACATTTGACACGGAGGAAGTGGATGGCATGGGACCCTGGAAGGCCGTCCTCTACAAACAGGGGGGGCCATCCACTTCCATGTGAGTGACTCAAAGTGTATACAATGGTAGACCTATGAACCACCCCTTAGGGGGGGCCCTGAGAGTGAAAACAAAGATCTGCGACCCGAACAATACCAGAAAGGGATGAGGATGGATGAGGGCGCGATCTCCAAATGCATCGCCTGAGGTTTATCAGATGCTTCCTCAGGCTGAGCAGTTTTTAGGAACCAACATCTGCGGCTTCCGATACTCTGCAAATACAGTAACTATGGTTTGTTTATTTTGTAGACAGAGGCACCACTGATAATCGTCTGTCTCCACTTTCCAGAACTCCGAAAAGCACGTCTGACCCTGCTCCACTTCTAGTCAAGTCCTCTTGTTTTGTTTCGCACCCAACTCCAACGTCATTAAGAAACAACGTCCCAACTCCAAGACTTCGCTGCTTCGGAGTGCTTTCATCATCATCTCTTTCAGATCGACCTACTTCGCTGCCTTCGGTCCAGGTCCGTGGTCCGCCCGGCCTGGGATTCCTGCGCCCCGTCCAGGAAGGACTTCACCTCGATCCCGGCGCGCAGGCAAAAGCGCGCGCGGGGAGACCTCCCCGGTGAAGCGCACGCCGACCCCGGCTCGGCCGGGGGCCCACATGGGGTGGATGGACCGACCCGGAGCGGATGGACCTTCCCCACCTGGCAGTGAGGATTGGTGGTACCTGGAGTAATTAGATGTTCCACCAACCACCACAAAGGGACCCCACGGTGGAAGCGATGGCCATCGCCTTCGCCTTGAACAAGCAAACCAATTTGCACCAGAATTCTGGCAAAATTGTTTTATCTTTGCGATTCGAGGTAGGAAATCGGATTATTGTTATGGTTGAAGAGAGATGGTGCATCACCAAAAAGGAGTTTCTACTATTAAGTCATGATATGTCATGATAGGCATCTTTCTTCCTGTTTCTTCCAAGCCATTTCTGGTCTTCTGCTTTTCCTTCTCGGCGACCGCACCAGGCACTGCATGAGGCAACTCCTCTGCGCAGAGAAGATCTGCTCCAGCCCAGTCGCGAGCTGCATCTGAGTAGCGCGGAAGGAAGGTGGTGAGATCCGCGTCAGGACCCGAACGGGAACCCTTTTCAGGGGCATGGCATGACCTAAGAACACGCTACTAAACAGCTTGAGGGTGACAATACCGGCAGGTTCCAACCCATCCCCTGGTGTTTTTCACAGGAGCTTCAGCCGTGATTCAAGGGTTAGAGGCTTCTCCCTTCTTGCCCGAGCCCGGATGTTCTCTACCAAACATCACCATCCCCACCAGTTTCCCCCCAAAACCATCCAAAACCTACGTGCCAACATGTGCCATTCACATGCCTCTCCATCACCTCGAAAGTGACTGTCCTCCTTGGCCCACCTTCGCCTCCATGCGCCGGAACTCCGAAGCGATCACGTCCAGCAACAAATACCGGTGCAGCCTGACCGGCGTGGCGGTGCACGACGCACGACCCCCGCTGCCACGACCGAGGACGTCATCGCGAGGGTCGCGGGTCTGACCACCCGACCCTTGGAATCCCGTTGGAGACAATCCATGTGGACGTCCAAAGCATCCAAAGCGTAGACACGCGTCCGCTCATGCACGATCACTATCGTGCAGTTGCCGAAAGCAGAATCCTTGCCAGATCACCATGTGAGGTTGCCTTTGCAAAAGTCACTCTATAATGACCCTTCCCTCTAATTACCATCTTTTGGTGAGCTGGGGAGGGGGAATCTACTCTCTTCAATGGATCGTTCGGGAGATCCCGCAACGATGCGCCCCGCGCGAGGGACCCGATCTGGTCACAACGCATCCGGCGAGGGACTGACCCGGTCGCAGTATGGCTGCCATCCCGAGAGATCCTCGAAGTAGAGGAACATATACCCTTTAAAAGAATGACGTGAACAGGGCTGGCATAGTGGTTGACCTACATTAGGCCGGCCAAAATTACATCAACCACCCCAACGTTACAAATACAAAAAATCTTTTGGAGTGTTTGGGAACTCGAAAATCTGTCTTCGAAGTAGCGAGACTCCACAACCCCCGGTAAGTGAGAAGCGCACGCCATGCACGCAAACCTTTTCAATCCTTTTCATGCTGCCGTGATTCGCTCGTGTTTTTTGGCGCATCAAACCTACACCAAGTCAACTTGAGGCATTTCATCGGTTTGAGAGTCTTTCATTCAGTGTTTCCCAAAAACTTTACCTGACTTGCCCAACCGGGAAAGTCTGCCGCTCATCCCGTGTTCTGCCCCACCGCTCCGCCGCGGCGTCGCCTCGGATCCACCGCGCCCCGCCCGTTCGGTGCCGCTGCTCTCCAAGTCGCGTGCCGGCGAAGTGGTGAAGCCGCTGCCGGACGGCCGCCACGAGGCGCCTTGTCCATCCGGTCGTTCCCGGTGGAGCGGGTTCCGGTGGAGCGGAGCCGATGGGAAGGACCGGGCACGACGGCGACTGGGCACGATGACTGCAGGGTGCCGGGGAGAGATGGAAGGACCGGTCGGCTTCAAGTTGTTCCTATTTTTGGCGGCTGACTCAATGTCTGTGGATGGGTTTCTGTGTAGCACAAATGCTGCACAACGACCGGTGCTTGGTCGCTGATGGTCGCTAGCTGCTACGTGAATTCGGTGCTGGCAACTGGAGAACCTAGTCCACTTCTTCCATCTTGGAAGCCTCATCCGCAGCTCCCTCGACCTCCTAACGGGGCAGCATAGACATGGCACTCTGCCTAAACCATCATGACCTGGTGTCAAAGGATGCCAGAATATCAAAGCTGGCCTTTGTGGTCATCAAGGTTGGATGCATGCCCTTGCAAAAACTCAGGATGAAAGCTTCAAGTGGAACTTGAGAAGGAAAGGCTACCTTTGCTAAATGTTAGCTATAGATTACTATAGATCTTACTTAATCAAATGATATCAAATGCATTCAAATGCAATGTTTCCTCAATCCTCTCCTCAAGAGGGGGCAGATCATCGTCATCGCCCAAGCCCTCATCATCATCGTCGATGCTCAGGCCGAGCTTGATCATGCGGTGAATGCGGCCGGCGAACTGGGTGGGCTCATCCAGGTTGAAACCAGATGTCAAAAGCGAAGTATCGAAGAGCAACCAAATCAAATCCTTCACAGTCTTGTCGGACTTGTCCGCGGCTGCCTTCTTCTTCAACTCAGCCATGATGGAGTGCTTGGGATTCACTTCCATGGTCTTCTTAGAGACCATGTAGGAGGTCATGGAGCTGTCGCGAAGAGCCTGTGCCTTCATGATGCGCTCCATGTTGGCTGACCAGCCATACTCAGAGGTTGTCAACACGCAAGGGGAGTCGGCCATGCGGGAAGAAATGATGACCTTCTCCACCTTGTCTCCCAAGACTTCCTTCATGAGCTTTGTCAGTGGCTCAAACTCAGCCTTCAGCTCCTCAATCTTCTTCCTTACGATTAGCTTCAAACACCCAACGGAGGAACAAGAATGAAATTGCCAGGACCTTTTAAGAAGTCCCCAATTGCCTACCCTGACACCTAGACTAGTGATCACTTCTCTACAGTAATCATGTGGCTTCGATATGCCTCCCCTTCAGCACTCTTGCCCCCCCCCTTCCGGGTGGCCCCTGCCATAGGGAGGGGCCATGCTCCGTTCCCCAGGCCATGCTCCGTATCCTCCATTCCCTCGACCCCGCCGCTCGACCCACCCGCCGCTTCCTCTTCCCCGAACCGTTCCCCCTCGGCGTTGTTCAACGAGGGCGTCTTCTCGTCCTCGTCATCGATGTCCAAGCCTCGGTGTGGGAAAAACCCGGCGCTTTCCGTTTCGGCGTTTCCTTCGGTCTACGGCGCCGGAACTCCGCAGTGGGTCGTGCCCTTTTTATGCGAAGAGAGCGGCATGAAACAAAGCCGTGGGGGGGGGGGGAACCCGTGTCTGTTGCGCACGCACTGTCTGGATTCTGTGGATGCTGGACGGCTGGGCTATGGCGTTGATGTGCCAAACGTATCTGCAACATCCCAAAATCCCGGATTCAAATGGTCCAGCGAGCTTTTCAAGGGGTGCCGTCACCTGTAAAAAGCTGTCTACTTCCAGTTTCAACTCGAAAGTCTCCTGACAGCCAGCATTCTGGGTGCCTTCTCCTTCTCAAAATCTCTCCTTCGAGAGTGATCCTTCTTTTGAACAGCTGAGGCTGAGACCTTCTTTGGTCGTACTCTTCAACTTCTTGCCTTGAAAAGTGCGCACCAATTTCACTGCTCCAGACCGAGGAAAGGGACGGACATGCCTTTTGACATGACAAAAATAGGACTGGAATAGATACCAACGTTCACGTGTGGGTTTCTCGCCCCAATATGCCATATATGGAGTGTCATTGGGAGATCCGAAAGGTCGATGTGTCCTATGAAGCAATGCTCAGGGAAATGGCAGTCTTCACATACAACATCATACAACCATGCCAAGTCGCCATCGAACTCCTTGAGCTGCTGGGTGGCATACTCGTCAATGGGGTCAATCATGTACAGCACCTCAATGCCCTTCTTGCGCAAGGTCTCGAGGAAGGGTGAGGAAGACACTGCTGCAATGCTCTCACCTGTGATGTAGTAGATGTCATTCTGTCCCTCCTTCATGCGGTCCACATACTCTTTGAGGCTGATCTGCTCATCGCCAGACTTGGAGGTGTGGTAGCGAAGGAGTTCAGCTACCTTCGTTCGGTTGGTGGAGTCTTCATGCACTCCAAGCTTGAGGCACTTGCCGAACTGCTCGTAGAACTTCTTGTAGTCGTCCTTCTTCTCGGCAATCTCGGCGAACATCTCCAGGCACTTCTTCACCAAGTTCTTCTTGATCACTCGCAAGATCTTGTTCTGCTGAAGGGTCTCGCGAGAGATGTTCAAAGGCAAGTCCTCAGAGTCCACGACACCCTTCACGAAGTTCAGCCACTCTGGCATCAACTCCTCGCAGTCATCCATGATGAAAACACGGCGCACGTAGAGCTTGATGTTGTTGCGCTTCCTTAGCTGAGTGCCCAAGCTTCAAGAAGATAGTGTTGTTTCCCACTACAAATTGCAACAAACTAGCAACGCAATAATAAGTTCAAAGTGTTTTCACTGGTCAGTGAGTTTCTTCTTGGTCTCAAAGAGGTCGAAAGGAGCCCGGCGAGGCACAAACAGCAGCGCACGGAACTCCAGTTGGCCTTCAACGCTGAAGTGCTTGACAGCCAAGTGATCCTCCCAGTCATTGGACAAAGACTTGTAGAAGCTTGCATACTCTTCGTTGGTCACATCCTCAGACTTACGCATCCACAAGGGCTTGTTCTTGTTGAGCTGCTCCCACTCATGGGACACCTCCTTGACCTTTTTGCAAAGAATTGCAATTTCGTTGTCTGTCAAGTTGGCATGAAGACAGGTACACAGTGTTTGACGATCATGTTCAATTATCTGCATGCGCGCACAAGTCCAAAACCTACTTGCGGCTGCTGTGAGTTAAGTTTGTTAGAATTTAGAAGATCTGTGTCAGCTACACAAACCCAGGTCCTTCTTCGTTTTCTTCTTCTTCTCCTCCTTCTCCTTCTCCTCATCGACCTCCTCGATCTTGGGCTCGTCACCTTCTTCCTTCTTCTCCTCTTCACCCTCATCCTCGCTGTCGGTGACCTCCTTCTCCTTGCTCTTCTCGACATAGAGCTCAATTGGGAAGCCGATAAACTCGGAGTGCTTCTTCACCAAGTCCTTCAGGCGGCGCTCCTCCAAGAACTCGGATTGGTCCTCTTTGAGGTAGCAAATGATTTTCGTGCCACGCTTGATCTCACCATGCACAAGCTCAGTGTCCTTCTGCACAGTGAAGGAGCCACCCGCTCCTGACTCCTCACTTGGCCAAAGAACCTCCTTTGATTGGGGTCCATATATAGACAAGCTTTTGGGATTGTGCCATCCACAATCTAAAAACCACTATAGACCGGCTAATAGACCGTCCTTCTTTTCGTGGCCAACCCTGAAGAACATGCACGGGTTCTTCAAAAGTCAACAATGTCACATTCTTGGCCAACTCAATGAGGTGAACCCCCGGCTAGGGGCGGCTACTGAACATGAATCTCAATGGGTTAAAGGGACTTAAAGGGCCAGTCTTCGCAAACTAAGGTTCCCAAATGTACTGCTCATCGTCATTGTGCTTGCTCACAACGCGAACCTTGTCTGACACAAGGTATGCGCTGTAGAAGCCGACACCGAACCTGGGATTGGCGAGGGGAAGCCCACACAAATGGAAAGAACACTAAAACAATTATATCGGTTCAAAACGATAACATGCCACACTATATAAAATCCAAGCTACTGGCCAATCATGGAGATGTCACCCCCAGCGGCCATGGCCTCCATAAAAGCCTTGGTGCCTGACTTAGCAATGGTGCCCAAGTTGTTGATGAGTTCATTTTTGGTCATGCCAATGCCCGAGTCCTCGATGGTCAAGGTCGAGTTCGTCTTGTCCGGCACGATCCTGGGTGTTTTCAAATCAAAAGCAACTCCCCAGACTCACGGGAAGAGGTGGAAATTGACCAACATCCCAACCATGTGGGGGTCTCTCTAGTCTGATGCATGCCCAATTGCATTCTCCTTTTAGCATGTTTTAGCCAAGTGTCTTAATGAAGAAATTCGGCTGGGCCTGCGCGGCGTGTCATGGTCATGGCCAGTGATGCTGACCCAAAATGGGCCACTCGGACGGGCGATCGGTGGACGGGCGGCGAATGGGTCCTGGTGATCCAAACGAAGGTGACGGCTGGTAGGTGAGTTGGTTGAGGGATGAGTTCTGAGTCAATGGTTGGTGAGAGTAAATGATCTGAATGTAAGAGTTGATGATTTGAATCCGGGCGTTGGTGATTGAAATGTTGATGCCGTTTTGTTTGAGTAGTGGAATCCCCCACTCCATTTGTATTTGAGGTGGAATCGAAAGGGTTTCTAACACGTTGCGGGAAACGGTCGGCCTGCGACTTCCGACCCTGCGAGAACTGGAAAAACGGAAGCGTCGTCCACCAATCGTATGAGTTGTTGTTCTTGGTGTTGTTGGTGATTCACGTGTTAGTGATTTGCGGGCTTGACTGTGAAGAGGAGGAAAGCAGGAGGCCGAGCAAGAGAAATTGGCCGTATGGGAACTAAAACCAAAAAACCAGTTGGGCCTCGATCTTGTCTGGGTCAGTGATAGACTCGTAGCGGATCTTGTCCAAGGCATCCGAGGCATTGGAGATCAACTCTCGCAAGAAGATCTCCTTGTTGGAGTAGAAGGTGTTGATAATCCTTTGCACACAGGAAAATCAGAAGCGAAACCACGCAGCCGCAACGACAACCACAACTACAGCAGCGACGGAAAACTTGGAGCACCACCACCACCGAACAACAGCAACAGCAGCAGCAACAACAACAACAAGAAGGTAAACAAAAACACAATGACCCCGCAAGTAGCTCTTGATTCATCAATATTGAAGAACCTATTACAAAGGACCCGTTGTTGTTGGGACACGCTCTCAATGACAATTTGTGTGGGCCCATATCCATGTCAAGCACACTGGCTCCGTGAAGCATCTGTCTAGCACTACCAGTTTATACTCAGCTGGGTTTGCATCCACGAGTTTCAGGTGAATGCCAATGGAACTCTGCTGTCAGAAAATTTGTTTCTGTCACAACTGCATCTCCTTTGGCGTGCCATGTTCGAAGCCTGAGCCGCACCTGCTTGGTATCGAAATCTTCCAGTTTCAGGCACTGAGCCAGAAAAAACAAGCAATTGTTACCGACACTTGGTGAAGTTCCAGGAGAATAACGTTCATCGTTGACAACGACAAAACCATCATACAGAGCATTGAGTCATATGGGTTGAGGCACAAATCATATGGGTCAGTACCATCCCTGTGTTGCACACGGCGTCCATGACGATGATGAGACTTTGCAATCGAGCAACCAGGCGTGCCACAAGCGCAACGAAATACCCAGCTACTTTCAAGAGTATGACAGTTCGGACACTCTCCAACTTCTGGCGGTTCGGCTATCTTTTCCTCGTCTGATTCATAATCTAACAGCGAACGCTGTTGGGCCGACAGCGTTCCCTTTTCTATAGATGCTATGCTTCTTGCATCGTCTGTGGCAGGAGGCAAAGGCTGTGGATCGCTTGGCTGCTCATCTGCTGCTTCGACTCGACCACGGGGTCTTCTAGCATCACAAATCACAAGAGGATTACCAGCTGTCTCGGACATACATACATTCACTTTTGGCCGCAACCGGTTCGCCGGGCTCCATCCCTAAAGTCATTCGCCTCCACTGAGCACTGCAAACATGCAGCGGCCACCCCCCTATAGAGCAACCATGGGGGCTTTGATATCCTCTGAAAGAAACAGAACTTGCCACACCAAAGGCTGAATTCCCCATGTGACCCACTGAGTTTAGGACAGTCAAGTTCGCCACAGAACTGCAACCCTGAAAGGCATCATTCCCAATGTGGGTCACTGAGTTGAATTCAAGAGCTGCAAGCAGCAAGGGAAATCCAGCTTGTCTTACAACAACAACAACAACAACAACAAAAACAACAACAACAACAACAACAACAACAAGGTACAAACCAAAACTGCAGCCCCACTACCAGTACCAGTACCAGTACAACTATATCGACGACGACCGGCAGCGGCGAGCGCGACGAGGACGAACAACATGCGTTCCCCTAATCATGAGGGTGTCTGTATCAAGTTATGCTGGTAGCTAGCACGTTGCCCAATTCGACCATTTTACTCCTAAAGTGTCCTTGAAGTCGGTGGCGGTAAGCAGCAACAACCATCCCCGCAAAACAGTGGCACAGGGTACAGCCACATGGCACTAAGGTCGCATCACACCACATCCTATCTGGGTGATTGATACATCCCTTCTTCTGTGTTTCCTCTTTCTTCTCTGCCACCCTCACTCGCGTCCTATCTTCTGTCTTTCCGCCCAAGTTTTCCTGCCTGGTGGCTCTCTATCCACCTCCCTACCTACGTGCATCCTTCATTGCAACAGCTACTGAGAAAAAATCAAGAAACCTACAGGCTAACCACCTTCTGGCAAATCTTAATGATTTGGTAAAAATATGTAAAAATAAAGGCATTCGTGCCAAAGATATCCAAAGATGTGGAGAAAGTCGTTTCAGCTGGCATCAAGGGTCAAGCTCATCAACTGCTGAATGTCAGCATTGAAGGCGAAGGTCTCCGCCATTGCTGGAAGAGGACGGGCGAATTGTTTCACTTCTCAAAACTTGGGAGCTGAATAGTCCTGAGCAGAACAAGGCAACGAATGGCAACGGTCGTCTGGCAACGGTCGTCTGAGTGGATCACATCGTCAGGCACGGTCGTTTCCTTCAGTTGGCAACAGCTTGCCAATCAGCGATGGGACCGGGTGTATGAGAATGCATGGCCGTGGGTTGTGGCACCGGGGGGACCCTGGTTGTTCCCATCAAAGAACAGAAAACCACGACCTATAGGAGGTCAACTACCAGGGATTGGGGCTGATTTTGACCCACAGCAAATTCCTTCGGGTACGAATTCGGTGCAAAAGTTCGTCCATAGCTTGAGGGGAGTGTACTGAGTGTACCCCCAACAGCACCAGACTCCACTCGAACCAGTCAATGTCCATTTCCACAGCTTGATCTACGTACACCCCTTGTCGGGGTGGTGTCTAATTAGGGCTGCTTGTTCGGCCGGCCTTGACCCCTCACCACCTCGGGTGCCTCTGCTATGGACGGTCCGTCCGGCACGGTCCGTCCCCCTTCGCAGGTCCCGGGCGTCCCGGCATCTCCAGACCTGCACGTCGCAGGCGTGGCGGCGCCGTCCGAGCCGGCGCCGAGACGAAGGGCGTGGACGGTGGGCGGCGCGACTGAGCGGACCGGTGGAAAGCGAGGGCCCAAGCAGAGCACGGAGGACGAACTGGGACCCGTGGAACGAACTGGGACCCTTGGAACTGACAGGTTGATGAATCTGTGTCAACCCCCCTCCCCAATGAAAAGCTTTGAGGGTCCAAGTGAGAGCCTGAAAATTGTTGTTGAAAATCAAGAGTCTACATTAGCCCGCTCGGGTGACGGCTTTTGGGTCATAGATATTTAATATAATATAATATAATATAATATAATTAGTATAATATAATACAATGTAATATATATAATATAATATAATATAATATAATATAATATAATATAATATGTGGTCATATGATCCTTTTAGAGATTGTTCTGCAATCTTCTGTATCTCATGCCAACGATGCGGCAGTTGATCCCGACTTGGGATGAGAACTTGGTGAAAGGCTCTGAGTGCGACGACGTCGACCTCTGGACTGTGCGTGGACCGTGGACCTGACCATTATATGGGTCTCTCATCGGTCGTATGCATAGACCTGTGGGAGGCCAAAGGAGCAATCACGAAATGAGGGGCCATGGGAAACCTGGATGACAAAGGCCCGTCTCTCATGTATCTGCGAGGTATCGATCTGCAAGCAGGTGCTGGCTGCCTGTGATTGGTGCCATAATATGAATATATAATATATAACTTGCCGCATGGAGGTCCAGTCCATCGCGTGGCAGAGCTTGGGTCCCGTCTCAGCCAACAAAGTGTCAATCTTCAGAAATAAGCGCACACAGGCTAACGTGTCGGATATGCTGCAGGGACATGCTGTGGGCTGACATCACAAGGATCCGAACTGGCCTGCGGCCTGACATCACAAAATCAGAGGAAGGGTCGGGAAGAGCACACCGAGCAGCCCCCAGGATTTCACTGCATGCTTCGCACGTGTCTTCTCGCAGTCCGTCCGTTGCCTACTTGTCTTCTCGCAGCCCGTCCGTTGCCTAGGGTAGCAGTGGTTGATGGTCGCAACGACAAGAAGAACCTCGGGTGCCAACAAGATCTGGGAGGAGCGAATTGGATGTTGTTCCCAATGGCAGCAAGAGAAACAAATTGACATGCACCAACACAACTGACACTACACTCCCTTCAACAAACATGGAAGTGGATGGCAACCCCTGTGTTCAAAAGAGTTGGTGGTCTTTAGTCTTCCTGCAGTCCCTTTCCAACAAGTCTTCGAAGAAACGCATCTGGCCGAAAAAACGCACACCGGCCCGCCTCCCACCACACCGCCCACATGGCGTTGTTCGGAGACCGACCCTGTGTCCCCCGGCCAACTGGACTTGAGACCTTCGAGCACGTGATTCACCAAAGCAACGAGGCGAAACAGCCTGGTCTGGCCAGTGGTGCGCTTGGCGAGTTTCTGACGGCTTCGTCGTGAGTTTTAGCCCTGAGAGTTTTCCGCCATCTGAGTTGCGCCGTTTTCGCAGCACCGGGAATGGTCTAGGTGGTGGAAAGCGGTGTTTCACAGGTTCTGTGCTATTTTTTTTGCGGGGGCGCAAAGGGTAGGGTCGGGGCCACGACCTGCTTTGCTGCTTGGACGTCAAAAGTCAAACAAAAACGTAAACACAAATGTTAAAAAATAGAATGGGGACATATGGGGACCGAGAAAAAGCAATCCTCCAGTTGTTCATGTTCCTTTTGACATATAACATGGTATGAAGTCGTGCACAATATCAGTACAAATGACCTCGGTGGACTCTCCAGGCCATCAACGGCGACAGCAGTTCCATGCATTTCGGCATCGCAGTTCATGCCAATTCGCAGTCCCAGTGGACGAGGGTTGGAGTCCCAGTGGTCCGATCAAGTGGTGTGTCTAGGACCTAGGAACTTCGGTGGGCGCCACGAACTAGACCGACCGGATGGGCGACATGCGAACCGACGCTGAAGGTATCAACACGTACTTCATCTTGGGCCAAGGGAACCCAATTCCTGATCCACTGGTGTCCTTCGATTCGGTGTCCCTCTTGGTCTGTTTTTGGTGAGACCACTAGGGTCGGCAACCAGGGTCCACCAGGGTCACCCAGTCCACCAGGTTTCACATCTTGACACAAGACCTATAGATCTGCGTGCGCCGTTTTAGAGGCCCCCATCAAGTGCGATTGCCGCCGGATGTCCCATTGCAAAACGAGAAGGGCTGTGCGACCATGCCCGCTTCTCCGACACTCGCGACCCAGTCGCCTGGAATATTGCAACATGATGGGCTCCTCGAAGAAGAGGCTCATGGGAAAGTCCAGCTTCAGGCTAAAACTGGCCAAGCGCCGAGCATCAGCTCTCGCTGATGCTTCTCGCAGTGGGTTTCTGTGTGTGTGTGTGTGCCAGTTGATACTCTGGGCTTTGAGGTTTCGGGTTGATGCTCCACATTTAAAAACCACACACACATACCAGCACCTCACTGCCAGGTCACCAACAGGTCAACCTGTATTCGGGCCCAACACCCAAACCTCCAGCCATCGGAGACCTGGTTTCGGTGCGACGTCAGACCGCCGGTTCACCGAAACGACGGTCAGTCAGCAGCGACTGGCCCGGTCGCACCTGATGCCGTCCAGAAAGCGTACGGGCCCATGTCCTGGACCGGAACCGACCGCACCCGGGGGGGACGCCAGTGGCGCAACGGCGGCCTTCCAAATGGGCCAACCCGGTGGGCCAACCCGGACCCGGCCACAGAGTGAACGGAGTTTGGTCGTCAAGCAAGGACAAAAAACCAGACATGAACTCAAGGGTGGTTGGAAGTCCAAGGTTCAGTTTGGTGGTGCAAGCGATTCCATTGACTCAATGACCGTCGTTTCTGGGTACGTGTCTTCTGTCCAAAACTGGTTCAAAAGGAAAGCAGCTAGGGGATGCTTTTCGGCCATGGCTGTGTTTCTTCCTTTCCATCCCAACCATGGCTATCCCCCATCTTGCCACCAACCCGATCCCCCGGTCGCACCGAAGCGGTGCCGCGGTCCCACCGGTCGGTCATGAACCGGTCAACCGACCGGTACGGATGAGTTCGGGCTGCAGGTGCCATGACGGTCATGGGAAGAGAAGCACGGGAGGCCTTCCTCTCCAACCAAAGGTCGAGGTCGCGCTTGCGGCTGCTGCAAGGAGGAACAGTAATACTGAAAAAAAAACGGAGATGAGGGGTAGCAGCAACCGGTGCCAACTGTCTCATTTTCATGCTGAGAGCAGTGTGGAAGTCTCCCAAAACCCCAGTGCTTCGCAGGCGCCGGTCGTTTTTGTCGAAGGGCATTCCCAGTGTATTCCTACTCTCTGCTCGACACAAAAGACTGTTTTGGAGGAGGAGAGGGTGGAAAGTGTTTTGGGTGGGGGTAGAGGGGGTTCTGGAGGTTCTGGGGGTGGAGATCAAGGTACATCGTTCGCCCTCTTCAAAACTCTTCATTTCCCCATCCCCACGACGGTCCTAGGGGAGATGGTGATGTCGCCAAATGCAACGACAGACCGCTGAGGAAGGCTTCCTCCTCCCCCGACAGAGGGACCAACGATTGGAAGAGGCCGTTTAGAGCCTGCCGCGCCGAGAAAGGTGCAGCCAGGATGTGCCAGGATAATGTTCTGCTAGGTATTGGGGTGACCTTGCAGACTGTGAGCCTAAAACTTCGAGGTGCTACCTGCACAATCAGTGGGCCCTTTCCCACATCCATCGATCCAAGTCTTCACTTCAGGAGGGTTTGTCCCAAAGAGTTTTCTGACATGAACGAGGAGCTGAACTTGTTGATGGCAAAAGGACATCCTCCCACACTAAAGGATAATATGTGATCATGTGATAATTTGTTTGTAACAGTGTAAGAATGTATAAGCTGTGATATACCCTTCCAACAAAAACTGGGCTCTGGAGATTTTACTGGTAGCCCATAGCTGCCATAGCTCTGACAATCTCTTGACCAAGATCTCTCGCGGAGGGGGGGGGGTCACTTCTCTGGATTTGTGCAAACCAAGAAACTCGTAGGGTGCCTTCAAAATAAGAGCCACGACTTTATTTTGAGCACTCTGGTTTGGAATCAGACATCCGGCCAAACTGCACAATAGTCCCCAAAGAGCACCACATGATGCCCTTGTCGGCCTTTATTCGACACACCAGTCCTGTGAATTTGGACACCACTACTGCAGAGAGAAGTATACATACAAGCATTCTCAAAGGCAAGACTGGAACCTTCTAGAACTGGGGATCTTCATTCTGCTGAGGGTTTTCCCCCTGAACTACCTGTCCTGATGGTCCAAGGAAAGATTTCACAAAGTCACTTGGACTCGCTGATCAAGGTACCTGGGAAGAAAAAGAACTCTTTTTCAGATCAACCCTCTGGACACATCGGCCGAACCATAAAATCCAGCTCCACAGCCAGACCATCGAACATTGGAGACCAGAAAAAGAAAATACCTACATGGATGGGTCATGTCTGTACAGAGGTAAGTACCTACTGTACTACACATCAACTGTAAGTACCTACTGGGTCATGAGCACATGGAGTAGATGTATGATAAATGCAACTCCAGCCCTGGAGTGTCTGGGATCCCGGAATCCAACGCACCGTGCTATGGGCACCCCGCCGCTTCGGTGCGCTGGAGCTCGGCCTGTCCAGGGTCGTCCGGTGTCGGTCTCCTGTCGGTCCACAGAATCGAAACGTCCCATGAAGTCCATCGGCCGGGTCTCCCCACTCGACTGGGTCGGTGGGTCGGTGGGGGCCGGGGTTCTTCCAAGATCGCTTCCAGAACAGCCCAGTCTCGCCCCAGAACACGAAAGCCCACCGGCCTGGTCTCCGTTCGCCCCGGGCACAGGGCCAGAACCGGCCATGCGCGCCAAAGACAACGCCTGGTTGGGAGAAGAACCGCTCGCAGAATGATTTGATACACCTTTAGATCGTCCGGGTCCAAGGAGATTCATAGATCCCCTTCTCTGAAGAAGCCTTTGCATGATCATAATCATAATCCCCTTCTCTGGCATAGATCCCCTGAAGGTAGGGACCTGTCATGCGCCTTCCCTGCAGGTTAGAGCCGGATTCGGAAACTAATCGGTCGGATTCTGAAACTAGGGTTCTGAAACTGGGGTTCTGAAACTAGGGTTCTGAAACTTGGATTCTGAAACTGGTATTCTGAAACTGGAAAGTCAGATTTTGCAACTGGTATTCTGAAGCTGGAAAGTCAGATTCTGCAACTTGCCTTCTGAAACTTGCAACTGGTGATCTCCACATCATGCGATAGCGTGTGTGCCTGTGACATCACCTTCGAAGCACATCCAAACCAACGTCATTAGCCCCCCACCCAACCCCCCCACCCCCCAACCCCCCCTTGTCCCCATCGTGTGATCTTGACACCCCTCATCATTCACAAAGTTGCGGAATCCTAGTGAGGGGGTCCACAATGTTGCGGAATCCTAGTTGCGGAACGCCAGTTGCGGAATCCCAGTTGCAGAATCCTAGTTGCGGAATCTTGACAGTTGCGGAATCCTAGTTTCGGAATCCTAGTTGCGGAATCCTAGTTGCGGAATTCTAGTTGCGGAATCCTAGTTGCGGAATCCTAGTTTCGGAATCCCAGTTGCGGAATCCCAGTTGCGGAATCCGACCAAACAGTTGCGGAATCCTAGTTGCGGAATCCTGCGCAGTTGCGGAACTCGACTTTATCCCTTCCCTGCAGGTAGATCCCCCTTCTCTGTGGCAGGATGTTGATCCACCAGACAAAAATGGCGTCCTCTCGGAGCCAAAACCCGCCGTGCCTCCACCAGGAAGGGCGACAGCAGGCGGCTCTCGCTCATCAGCAACACGCGCCGGAGCCTTGAGGGGTCCAGGTACTAGTGTAGACGACAAATCAATAGGAACTCACCCAATTTGATTGTAAATCCTATTCAATCTACAGTGTTCAATCCTGTTCATATTGTGGGGGGTCAATTGCCTAATAAACAGTCTACTCATTCACAAGTCCGCGGACAAATCCAAATCCTGGTATATCAGGAATCATGGTCCAAGCAAGGTGTTTGCATCGGAGCCTGAATGTTATTTGTGAATAACCGCGCTTGCCATCTCACCATGAATCCAACACGTGCGAATTCAATTCAATCGTCTCACCAGAATGCTGAGCAGCATGGCAGTGCTCAGCAGTGTGAAGATATGAAAACACCACTGCTGTTTGACAAAAACACCTCAGTGGAGTGTTTCTGCATGTGTCTGCCATGTTTTTCTCCAAAAGAGGACCCCAAAATGCTCATCTGACGTGAACCATGTGAACCCACCTGAAAAAGAAAAAGACCCGTGCCAAGACCAGGGTCACAACCCCGCGGGGCCATCGGTTTCTTCGCCCGCTCTTTCTCTCACTCCCATCTCTGGTGAGTAGCAGGTCGATGCGTTTCACCAACTTCAGCTGAAACACCTGCGGCCCACTTCGGCAGTGCTCCAGCCGAGCGCTGCGCTTCGATCCGCGCGGTTCCAAGGCGCTTGCTTCGGGGTAGACCGGAGCAGCTCGGGGTAGACACGCGGCTTCATGGTTCACGCGGAGTGTTCCATGCCCGAGTGGGAAGGACCCTGAAAAATGTGAGAAGAAAACTCCCAGGACCTTCCACTGGTGACCTTTTTTGAGGATTGGCAAGTGACCTTTTCTAGGCCTAAGTGACCTCATTCTGAGGATCTCAAAAGGTCACTGGGAAGGTCCTGGTGGGCTCTCATGTTTAAAGCCTTGGTCTTTTCCGTGAAAGGTCATGATCCAAGTGCTGAGGCCCTGTTCGACCACCTTCGCCACGCGCCTGTTCGACCACCTTCGCGTCCACCCTTAGCGACGGTGTGCAGCGCTGAGTGGAATGTGCAACCTGGTCTCCTTGATATCCGAGGGGAACGTGTTCGCTGATGTCGTGATCCTCAGAATTCCCCCAGAATACGACGTCGTGACTCATCAAAGGTCTGAAACCCCTTTGCAGCAGTGGATGCATGTTCTCTTTCCTTCGATTCTTCGCTTACGGTTTGCAACATGAGGAAAAAGAGAAGGAAAAACATCGAATACGCCACTTGGCCCTGCATGCCGGGCCCAGTGATTCCCAAAAAGACACCGAGTCGAAGAACCGAGTCGCGGACTCATGAGTCGGGGTGAACCCGCGACTCGGCTGCTGAGTGGATGATGAGTGGATGGGCCGTTTGGCTCAGAAACACCCCCCAACTGCTTTGGCACAGCAACAGGCCCTGGGTGGCAAGGGGAGGCAGGGGCAAGCCCTGGGTGGCAAGGGGGTGTAGCAGGGAGTAGGGAGTTGCAGCGTTCTCCGTTCGCCTTCGGTCCGACCGGGAGGATCGGCTTCAGTCGACTGAGCAGACCTGACACCTGCGGGAGATGAACGGAAACACCCGGACATCTCGTGCGTCTCGCGCAGCACGGAAACGAAGCTCACACCTTGGAAAACCTATACCACATCGCATCGGACAGAGTCGACCCGTGTGCCGGAGTCCGAACACGAAACACACAAGTTGTTCTAGGATGTGCACTCTCACTATACACGATGGTTTTTTGACCTTCTTCTCGCTATATATCTGTGACCTAAGCCGCTAGCGCTGATTGATGACTGTACATCGTCTTGAAACAAATGATCCTCCAAGCACCGACTCAAACAGGCAAGTGGACTCAAACTGAGTGGCAGTGCTCATTGATGGTTTTAGTGGCCACTTTGAGAGTTGTTGGGATTGCTGGCTTCATCCGAGCCTTCGATCGACTTCATCCGCAGCTTCAAGCCCCTGTGTTCCCAGACCATTGGGACTGCTTCCTCAACGGACGGAGCAGGCAGCTCCTGGCTTCGCAGCAAGTGCTTTCAGAGGTCGACAGAGGTCGAGCCGGGGAGAAGGAGACGGACAGAAACAGCTTCCAAACAGTGTTCTAGAAGGATCAATTCACAGTTCTATCTAATGGGGGGGCACCGTAACGCCATCTATATCCATCTGCGTTCAACATGTATGTTTCGCTGCGGGTCACATATCTTGAAGAACGCACCATACACCTCTGGCATGTTGCACTTGCCAGTGCATCCCTGTCAGCATTCCCGGAGAATCCGGTGGTGAGCCGGATCGGTCGCTGGAGCAGTTGGAGCGACCAAACGACCCCCGGGCGAAACTGGCGCCTGCCAAGGGTTTCAGAAAGAGGGTACACTCGAGACCCAACCCCCGGCATCGGAGTGACCCCCGTTGGAGGGAAGTCGTCTGCCATCCACCTTCCCATGGAATGTGAGTTAGAGTGTAACATGGTGTAGGTCTTTCTCTGCTGAAAAAGGCATGGCTGACTTCCGATCAGAGGTGGTTTGCAGGCTGCGGGGACATGGCATCTGACATCGTGTTCCCATGCCAACAGAAACTCAAGAATCATCTTCCGTGTCCAGTTGCAAACTTGAAACAAGCATTCTTAGAGACTCTTCACTTATCTTCCACAAAAATAACCATGCAAAAAGGCGCGCCAGAGCCGGCCCCCTCACCTCATCCTCCCTCCTGGGAGCCCCCGACTCCAGAGCCACCTCCAAGGGTCTGGAGCCCAGTTGCTGGGCCTCCGCCACCGGGCTCCGGGGTTCAACACCCTTGGTTCCGGGTGGGGAGAGAAGAAAGTGGTGGAACCTGCGAAGAGGTCTCCTTGGCCTGAAGAGACGAAGGAGGCAAGACACCACCAAGGCGTCTTGAGCCAGGACACTGTAGGCTCAGGGTCTTTCGGCTCAGGACACTGAGCCTAAGTGACTCCCGGTGAACATCGGTCAGAGGATTTTAGATTTCATTTGGTTAGTAGTATAGACTAGTCTGTACCCATGCAGGTAGAAGGTCGAGTCGGCTCTTCACTGGAGAGAATCCAACAGCTTCCAACAGCTTCTTGCTTCAATCCCCAACTCGGTGAACTGATGTCACCCGATGTAAACTCGGTGAACTGATGGCACCTCAATAAGATCAGAAGCCCCTTCCAGCTTGGCTGATCTCCAGCGCGTTCGGCGTTCGGCGTCCCCCCAAAAGGTACCCGTTCACGTGCCGCTGCATCACGCCTCCGGTCGCTGCATCTCGCCCCCCGGCCTCGAGCACATCCGTCGCAATCCACCAGGAATACGCCGAACGTCGCCCGGTCTCCGGTCTCGCTGCGTCTCCGGTCTCCTCCTGCGGACGGGTTGCCCTGGAGGAGCCAGGCTTGGAAAAGAACAAAGAGGGAAGAGAGAAAGCGATGAACGCCCTCTGTTTAAAGAGGGGTTGCCCTCCTTTTGCTGGAAAGTTGAAGTGATACTTATCTTGATATAGATATATATATATATATGTATGTACGATTTGTTTAATGTCGTGTCTATATTCATAACCGTACTGCATATGCTTTTTACACGTTGTGGTATGTTGTATGAGTTTGGTATGAACATGAGCATGGCTTATTGTATCTGATTGCTTTCGACATGCATGCGAGCCTTGCTTCTGCCACCTTGTTCTCAACATTCTTAACAAAATCTGTTCATAACTCACAACCCCACTCTCCACTCTCCCTTCGGGCCCTACGTCCTGGCGCTTCGCCTCAGTCAGCCCTTTGAAGAAGTCGCCCAGATCCACCTCTGCCACCGGCGCCAGGGCCGCCTGCCGCGCCAGCCGCGCACAGCACGCAGCGTAGAGGTGCCGCCGCACCTGCCGCAACACCTGCCGCCACTGTGCCTCTTCAGCCGCCGCGGCCGCACCGGCAGCGGCGGCCGGTCCGGCGGGACCCGGGGCGACCGGAGGGTCGGTCGGGGCGACCGGAGGATCGGTCGGCGCCAGGAGCTCTTGCACTGAGGGCTGGCCAGCTGGGTGGGAAGGGCGGCCAGCAGTCGCGGGTGAAGGATCACCTGAAAGGGTTCCGGGTTGACCAAAAGGTCGTACGACGAGTGTGGTCCAAACGTCAGGTCCAGACGAGTATGATTGAAGCTGGATGAGACCGTTCAACCCTCCCAATTTGCAATCTCATGCAATCTCTAATGCCTATGCATCGTGCCGCGGATCCTGAACCCCTCATTCCCAGGTTCGTACTCTTCCTGCTGAACCAGCTTCACCCACCCACATCACCTGCTTCAAGAGCGTCATCTTCAACTGGAGAAGCTCCAGAGCCTGCTGAATCACCTGCATCTGACCCATCTGGATCTAGGCTTGGAAGCACTGCGTTCAGGATGGTGTGATCATTCTGATCCTGATTTGCCTGAGGTGGATCTTCCATCTGATCCTCGGGTTCTTCTGGCTCTTCCAGAGGTGGCTCTTCTGGTCTTGGCTGATCAGCTTCTTCTCGGTGCTCCGGATCTCTCTCCGATGGAACGTCCGATCCTCTTCCCCTCGAGATCTGGTCCTTGGCGTGGAGAGTGGTCTGGGATCGCAGAGGGGATCCGTAGCGGACTCATCCAGTTCTATCAGACCCTAAGAACAAGTTTAGAAACATGGATGAATCCTCAGCTACAAGATAGAGTTATAGGGTACTTCATCCTTGTTTAGATCTATAGTATGTCCTGATGGTGTACTTCAATTAACAGTAGGATGTAAATCCGCGAGAAGGCGGCACCAACGGATGTTCCTGCCGCAATTCGCATGACTCATGCCTCTAGAAGGAGGCTTGACCCACCACCGGACCAGCTGTTCAAAGGCCCTGGAGTGTTGAACATAGAAACCTGTTAATATAAACCACTCATGTAGATCTGTTGATGCATCAAACAGAGGGTGAATCATCAACAGATCTACGTACAGTATTGGAAGATGGACTCGCCAAACAACCTCATTCTCCTGATTCCATGGACGACTGCTTTCCTGCAATCTCCTGCAATGTTTGGGGAGGCTGCCGCTTTGCACCAAGATGCCACAGCAAACTCCTCTGCCGTTTCGGCCGTTTCAGCAATGGCTGAAACAGTGAGGCCAGGCCTCACAGGCAACAGGCCAAGAGCCATGAAGAGCTAGCTCCGTTTGCTTCCCAGAGTATATCGTTTCGATCAGTAAGACTCGGCCAACGTCGGCGTTCCTGGTGCATCTTCACGTCCTTGACACCCATTCAAACTAATGTTTCTCCCATTCCGCTTGCAGGGCTGAGTCTTGTCTTCTGATTCTGTGGCTTTTACTTTATTGCTGGGCCAAACCGTTCATAGAAGTTCACAATGCCTCAGAGCATGAGGCCGTTTCCCCACAACCCCACAATCAACACCCTTCACAGCTTGCGCCATGATTCATGGCCGGCAAGTCAATCCGCAAAACAAACCGCCGGAATTGCTCTAAAAAAGAAGCAAGGGAGCAGGGTGATTCCTTAGAAAGCCTGTCACGGTCGGTGCCGCAACAAAAACAACTTGCTTCATTTGAACCGATCTGAACCTGTCTACATGCAGGTCCTCATGCATGAAGCGTAAGCTTTCTTGAAGAGTGATGCTCGGCTTCATGCAAAGGAAATAACCAAAGACAACGAAGGAGCTTCGCCATGGCGTGGAACGTTGAACGCTTCGTACCGTACGGAGGTATGACATGAAGGAACGACGCGGGTCGTACCGCAGGACGGACCCTCAGGTCGGGCCCCTCACGACGCGGGCGTCGAACACGAAACGTTTCGGAAGGCAGTGGATCCATCATGTAGACTCTTGATTGGTGGACCCATCCATTTGAACTGGAAGTCCTGTTCATATGGGAGGCGCTATGTGGATCCATAAGGGACTATGATGTGGGGCAAGCCCCCTGGTTGCCCTGGCGGTCGCCAACGTTGCCTCGCTTCTGGATGGATGTCCTCGCTTCTTCGTGCCCAGGGATTGACCACAGGGCCCCAAGCAGCCGCCTCAGACGGAGCGAAACCCCGCCGCAACGGTCACGATGTCTGCTTGGACGGGTCGAGGCACAGGGGGCACAGGGGGCACTTGGTGGTACAAATGGGTGTTAAAATGCTGTTTCTGTGACATGGTGCCATGTGTCATTTTGTTCAAGCCTCCAACTAGGCTGCTATCACACACACACACACACACACACACACCGAAGCCAAGATGGAATATGGATTGCGGATGGTAGCTCCACAACTGGCAAGAGAGAATCTCAAGATAGACCCCCTTCTTGTGTCCAACTACGCAAGACCCCCTTCTTGTTTCCTTTCGCCGCCTGCGGCTCCATTTGTGGCGCCAGGCTCTTCAGCTCTTCAGCCTAGGTCACAACACCAACACTCCAGTGGCCCGATGCTTTTGGAATCCCATCCAGTGATTTCATGGGAACCCTCCAAGCAACATCAAGCAACGAGGAAAAGCGGCTTCTTGTGTTTGTCATGCTCAGATGGTAGTAGTTGAAGGGCAGAGTGGATGGAGTCTTGTTCTTTCGGGCATCTATAATCTATACTATCTAAGAATATCTAAGAGGGTGTTGGCATAGAAATTGACATAGAACCCCAAGTCACCTGGGGCGAACGCAGAGGAATAGGCTATAGCATCGACTCCATGTGTCAAACTCTATGGGGGAAATGTGTATTCTTTGGGAGTCCATGTGACCCCGGAACCTCATGTGACCGAAATGGTGGCTCTACGACTCCCAGGTGGATGAGCTCAGTTTCTTGATGTTTGATTGACTTCGTACGTCTATCCCATGACCAACCACGGTGGTGGATGATGGCTTGGTAAAGGCCTCTCTCAAAGTTGATAGCACAAACACAGAAGAAAGCGTTGAACCTGGCAGAGTTGGCCGGATGCCCCCGATGCCGCGAGCAGCGAATGACGATTCGCCACGACGTAACCAGACCGTCCCAACCGGTTAGACCGTCTTGGACACGGTGAAAGATGCAGGTACTGTGGCCGAGCCCCCTTTGGTTCCAAAAGAGGCGGAGCAAGGACTCCGGATCCCAAAGAGATGGCTAAGACACACAAAACAAACCATCGCCCCACGACTCAAGGCTTGGTTGAAGAGTTGTTTTCACGAACTTAGTGACTTCACAAACCAAAAGCTTGGACCAGGGGCGAGAAAGGGGACAGGGCCTTCTTTTATCGTGTTTATGTGTTTCTTAAGCTCCTTCCATTGGTGTGTCTTTCCATGTGCTTGGCTTTGCGAGTCATTTTTTTGGACGGAAACCATCTTTTTTTTGGTGGTAGAAAACTCCCAAAACCATCCCCAAAACCAGCCAAGAACCTCATCCAAGAAAGCTTCTTCGACTCCACGAGCATCCAAAAAAAGAATGGCCATGGGCCATGACATTTTCCAAGCAGCATAAAACTCAGCTTCACGTGTCCACAGCTCCACCAGCTGCTGCGACCGCTTGAAGCGCTCCAAGTTCCAGCGGATCAACCGGGACTCCTGCCGCTCCGAGTTCGACACCCCCCGTTGGAAGGCCAAGCGAATCGGTCTCCGAACCCAGAGCCCTGGAAGCCCAATTCGTCTGGTGAGTTCGGAATCGGTCATGGCGTTCTCCCTACACACACCTGGTGGCGTGAGCGTTCAGTGGATGTTCTTCACATGGTTGCAGCGTTGGGGCCGGAGAAGAGAGCTGTGGCGAGAGTTGGCGATGAGCGAGAGACGTTCGCGCGACGCGACGCGACGCGCGACTCATGGGGGCTGGAGGTTCAGAAAGGAGTACATAAGTCATTCGCAGGACAGACATCTTCTCAAGTTCACGAAATCCAGACATAGAACCCATTTGATCTCTTTGTTGATAAGAAAAGACGATGTTTTGGCTCCAAAGCAGGGGTCAATCAGGTTCGGGGTAAATAGACTGACTCCGGGGCTCCTTCTTTTCAACCGGTCAATCAGGTTCTTCAACCAGTGAAAAGAAGGGATTATTTTCGCCCTGCCGTCTGCACGGATTTCTTTGTGGCGTCGAGTAGTGGGTGGAAGGCAAAGCGATACGAGGTTCTGCGGGTGGTTGAATTGTAAAACCCCTTGAACATCAACAGTCTACATTAGTATGCATCAGTCAAGGAATTCCAATGTGGTGACTATTAGACCCATCCAGTGAGTGGAGATGGGCACCCCTACCCTCCAATCAGCACCCCCGACATGTATAGTCAATCCCCAACATGCTGCATCTTTTGTCAGCTCAAGTTGCCATCTGTTTGTGCAAATGATTTCCCCAATGTTTTTGTTGCTAAACATTTGGCACATAGATATATGCGTGTTTAGTGACGCCATCTGCTTGTGATTCCCTATAAGCCACATCAAAAGGCCAAAGGTCAATGAATGCCGTCTGCTCCTGCTCCGTCTGCCTCTGCTGCATCTCATGCTCATCCAGAATCCTCTGTCGCGCCTCCTCCAAGAATTCATCGCCCACATCCAACCTTGCAGCAAATCATCTGGGATCTACGCGAAGATCTCGAAGAAACGGCTCTTACATGTTCCTACCACACGGGGCGCCTACAAAATCTACAAAGAAACAAATGTTGAACTCAACAAATGCGTTCTGATCCTCAGCAAGTGGCAGAAAGCGTTCTTTGGCTTCCTCTTCTGCTTCAAGCTGCTTCTTCTCTTCATCAATCTGTCGCTTCCTCATGTTGCATCAAACAGCACCCACAGGTAGACCCACTGCTCAAGGCAGATCCAAAATCCTTCACCACTTGCTTAGAACCTATCCGATCCCTAGTATTCTTGACAGGAAAACCTTCATTAATGTCTTTCATTGTGCACTTGGTGGTCCAAAACAAGGGTCACCCGGGCGAGATGGCACGCGCCCAGCCTGAACCCAAACACATCACTGGAAGTGGGACAGGAGGACACCACCTGTTTCTGTAGAGAAAACATGCTCTTCCAACAGACTTTCCATCCAAAGTCCATCGTAGCCCCGAATCCTTCCCAACAAAACTTTGCCTGCACTTGAACTCCCAAAGAGACATCTGTCAGAACATGTCAGAACCGACTTGCCTGTGGGTCAAAAGCCACATCCAAGTAGTACCTGGTTGGTTGACCTCCCGCTGACGTCGTCTATTCGGTTCATGTTCGGTGGGACAAACCGGTCGGTCTCCGAACGACCCACCGACGCCACGACGCCGAGCGTAGCTCCGAACGACCGGCGCCGAGTAGAGCTCGCTCGCCGAGCGGCTCGGCGACCTGCGCGTCCAGCGCCAGCTTCAGCTCCTCCTGCTGCTTGCGCCTGGCAGCCTTGACAACCAGCCGGCTGGGGCGCTGGAGAGATGCCGGTGACTAGTAGCGATGCCCTTGTGACTAGCTTCTTGCTCCTAGTAAGGCCAGGAGCTACTAGAAACGTCCTTGCTCCTAGTAGCGATGCCAGGACCGGAGCTACTAGTAGCTTCTTGTTACTAGGAAAAGGATATTAAAGAGGAATCATTGAGGGGGAACACGATAGAAACCGGTTGGTTAAAAGTTTATACGATGGAATACAAAATGCATTGAGGCTCATTGAGGATATCTTGACTTTGGTCCCCGCTCAACTTCAGATCAGCTGTGTTCTCCACGTTCACATCAGCAAGTATTGTTGCTGGAGTGGACAAAAATCGTCTCAATCTCCTCTTTCCGGGTCTAAGGGGATGATCTTCGAATCAACCAACTTCCTTCAAAACTCCTTCCGATTCTCACACCCAAGTCGTGGCGAAGCTCGCCCCCAAGTCGTGGACCTTCCCCACCACCCTCCGGCCAACCTCTTCAGGTGTCACACGGGGAGTGAAAGGCCGTGCTGTCCGTGGTGTCCGCGGAGTCGCCCACCGCGGTGTCGCCGCGCGGGGTTCTTCCTCGCAGGTCGGGTGAGACCTGGGTGTTGATGAACCTCTCTTGCTAGCGCCCAAATCAAGTCTTCAGGACATCCGAATTTTCTCGGGTGGCATCGTCAGACCGTGGGGTGTGTTCCAGGGCTTGATTCCGCTGGGCGACGCTTTGTAAAGTGTTTGTCGTCCAGAAGCCACTGCCAACGTGGAACTCCGGCCAAAGAAGGCTGTGGTGATGTCCACAGTGGCCCGGCCAACACCCGAGGAAAAAGCAGAACTTGGATGCTCTAGTTTTGGGATCAAGAGAAAACCATCCACCCTTCCAAAGGAATATGGTTTGGAGTCCAGTATTGAATCGTATCAATATGCATGAGAAGAAAAGAAACGTGAGAGTGAGAGTTTGGGCACCACCATTGGCATGCAAAGCAACATGTATGATCCCTAAGAGTCGGATTTTTTCTGGTCATGTGTTAATGAGATGGGCCTTTGGGGGTCTTGCAGGTCCGACCGAGTGCAAAACACCAACACTTGCTGAGCCTAGCTTCTTGGTACTAGTAGCTTCTTGTTACTAGTAGCGATGGCCTCCAACCCCTACTTGCGATGGCCTCCAACTAATAGCGTCCTAATACTCATATGGCTTAGTAATCCCTGATGATCCACCAGATCACATCACACGCGAGTTTCGCGTGACGGCGAAAGCTCCTCCAACCGTCGAGTTGGTAGAAGAGGTGAAAAAAAAAAGAAAAACAGACCATCCATGGGACTGGAATATGTGTATAATATATATATATATATGATATAACATGACTACATTAAGCCTGAAACTATCCCAATGTGGGGAAATCAGTTATACGTGGATGGTCTGGGTCACTTTGGTTCCAGGAGTCTTAGAGAGTGCTTTCTTTTTCAAGAGTCGATGTCTACTCACAGAGACATGGGCCTAAAAGCCACACATGTTGCTCATGTCAAAACTAAAGGTCTTGGAGCCACCGCGCAAGACAAATCCAAAAGGATCCAAAAAGGAACATCACTTCCTTCTCTCGAGATTGGAACATCACGGGACAATGGAACACCAAAATGATCTTGACAAACCTCTACTGGCATGTCTTCGTTCAAAACATCCTGGCACATCCTCCCACGTTTCTACCAAAACAAACCACCGAGGCGGCGGTCCCCCCTGCACTCCCCGCTGCCTCCGTCTGCACCGGCGGCGGAACGGCCTGGAGAGGTCTCCACCAACTCCACACAGTCAGTCATCTAATGAGGCTTTTCTCCTAGCATATGCAGAAACAAAAAGACAACTTGTTCCCCTTGTATGTTGAGAGATGAGAAAAGAAACGCATCAAAAAGATCAGAGCCGAGTTTGAAAGACACATCGCATCCAGAACCCCGCGTCTCCAGCCACCTCCGCAGTCGGTGCCTTCACCTCCGCAGTCTCCACCGGTGGCCACACCGGCAGCTCGGGCGGCTCGGGCGCGGGCGGTGGCCACACCGGTGGCTCGGTGAGGGACACGAAGACCGCCAAGCAGCTGGGGTCGCCGGGAGCCTGGGAGACCGGTGGTGACTGAGAAGTTCACTGAAGAAAGGATCAGGTGAAAAAGGATGGAGCTGTTTTCCGGAATTGGTCTTTTTCGCGTTTTTTTCCAAAAGGAGAACTCCCTGAATTGAACCTGAACTGAACCCACACCTCCTCCACCACGCCTCCGCTTCTTCCTGCGCTCCGCCCAGGAAGGCCCGCACTTCGCGCCCCTCCGCGGCCAAGAATGCACCCGCGCGCAGCTCCGGCACCGGTGGACCGCGGACGGCGGCGCGGACGGCGACGGCGCCCGCTGCCGTGGCGGCGGAGCTGAGGATGGCAAGCTTGGGAGCCAGGCCCTGGAGTTCAACGTCCTGGGGAAGAGGTGTCATGGGAAAAAACGGGCGCGCAAACGCGCGGCGCAGTACTGTAGCTGCCTGGCTGCCTGGACTTCAAGGGACTGAAGCTGCAAGGAACTCTTGCACACCGCCAGAAACGAGAACGTCAAAGCGCGTTCAGTCTGTTGCAAGCTTTTTTCACCTGACCTTCCCCGACCTTCCCCGGACCTCTTCCCACCCGCAGTCTGGGGTTGCGCCGCAGTCAGGCTGCTGCCGAGCGGCCAGCGACGCCAGGAACCGAGGCAACTTCATCCCGCCGGAGGGAGACTGGAACTCCCTGGGCAATGGAGTCCCGAACTGCGACCAGGCCGACAAGCCGTCCTGAAGGCGCGCGGCGAAGGCGCGCGGCGCAGGCAAGGGGAGGGACCCGAGCGACCATTGAGGGAGAAAAAGTCGGGTGAGCTAATCCAATTCGCACAAGACCAAAGGTGGGATCGGATGGATGTCTTGGATGCCAGTTCCACACTTTGAACATGTTCAGTCAGGCCAAGGCACCAGGAAGGGTTGCATGGTGCGCTGGAAGGTCCAAAGCAAGATGGTCTCGTGCGGTGAGAACAGCGATGGCAGCTCATGAGATGTGGCTTGGAAGGTGGTGGTCGAAATCTCATGCACACCTGCCAGTCGGACTGGGCACCAAGCCGTGGCCGCGTTTTTCGGCGGCCAATCCTAAAGAATGCTTAGTTGAAGTTGGAGAATGAGATGTACTGCCCACAGACCCGACAGGGAGTGATTAGTGTCCTTCCTCCAAAAATGATGGATGTGAATGGAAGTGAACCTTTTGTGCTTGAAAAACGATTTCCCTACAAGCAGGGGACGAGATCCACTTCTTGGATGGAGGGTAGCTGATCATATGGGTCATCCCTTCACATCCACACGGAGTCGTCTCACTCCCCTGAAGGAGCTTCCCTGCGTACCTACCTGGAACCAACGAATGCTTCCTATCCCAGAGCATCCATATGTGATATAGATTGATATATTATGATATAGTGACCTGCACGTATGGATCATAAAGTAAAAGGGGTAAATGTACCAGGAGACCCCAAGGCGTGTTGTTTGGACCCTAGGGGGTGGTTTTCTTGACACCCCTCACAACCACTTGGCACCATTGAACGGGTCTCCTGGTGTGCAACCCCTTTCCACGGATGGTCTAGGGATGGTTCCTCATCTCTTCCAACGTGTCACGCTGCCCAAGACCAATACGCTCCACTCGACTCAAAACCACCCAACGACGGTGGTCAACGGCTCCTGAGTAGAGCTTCCAGTTGATTCATTTTACCCTACGATTAGTGGTGGATTATGACGTCATTGGACGTTCTGGGGCTGTTGAATACGCCTCTACCGGAGGGGTTTCTGGGAAGACCCGCCGAACCCGTTCACCACTCCGTTCGCCGCCGAGGCGCGGCACGAGGTGAAAATGTGTTCCAAGAGTTCCACGCCTTCCTGAGCAGGAGTGACGAGCGTCCTTCCCAAAACCTCCCAAACCTGTTTTGTGTCACCTTCACCATGTCCAACACCCAAACACTCCAGGTATGGAATATATGCCTACATTGACCCCCCAAACCACCCCTGGCCTGATCGGCAGTCCTATGGCAGTCCCATGGAGCGTCTGACAGGAAAACTGGTCTCAAGATCGCCCCAGCGTCGGGCAGGGGCGAGTCGGGCACCGCATCGTTCACGCCGCACAACGCCAAGACCGGTTGCAAGCGCCGGAACCATCGATCCTGAGCTCCACGGCCGCGTGCGCGCGCGCAGATCCGATGGTTGGGCACCCCAATCATAATTATAGATCAATTAATCATATCAAACAGGAACGTTAACACATACATTATGTATTTATAAATACACATTAATATATATATAAAACAGAAAAAAAAGAACTGATATAAACACCTCATATAACATATGAATAACATATAAACACCTCATGAAAGAACTGGATCCAACCAACAACGCCTCCCACCCTTGGGGCTTCCAGCAGCCCACCCGCTCCGGCGGACCGGCTCGCTCGGTCGGATCCGAGGCGCGGCGGCCACGTGAAGCTTCAGGAAGCTGCTCCTCCTGGGATGGGGAGGGCAGCTGTGAGGGATGGAGAGTCCCAGGGTGAGGTGAAAATGGTGATAAACTGATAACACCTATTACAAATATATATATATATATGATGATGTATATGTATGTGTATTTATACATATATATATATATATGTTTGTGTGTGTGTGTGTTCTGTATACTGTATAACATATATACCCTGGGAGTCAAAGACTATTAAAAAAAATGGTCTTTAGGGGACCTGAAAGGGAACTTCCTTTACTTCAGCCGGTCAAAATATAGTCTTTGGACTTCTAGGGTATATATATATATATATATGATATATAGATGAAGTGTGATAAGCCATGATAAACCTATTGGGTGACATACTGCGGGCAGGAGCCCCGACTCCGGGTCAAGGAGCATCTCTGTCTACAGGAGATCCTTGCAGTCATTAAGGCTACAACGCAGTCAGGAGTGGTCTTAAGTCTCTGAGTAGGAGTAGGAGTTCCTGGGCGCTCCTATATACCCTCCCTTTTCAGCTCTTCCCCAATAAAACGGGATCCCATGACCCACAAGAGAATGGGCCGTCCTCGCATCAGGCCGCACCCGCTGGTAGATGTCTTGGTCGACGGCCATGAGGAGCTCCTTCAAAACTTCACCCAAGGCCTTGCACGGGGTGTGGTTCTAGTCGGTGTCAGAAATCAATCCCTAGCTTTGCGAGAACTATAGTTAGAGCAAAGCTGCTGGCACGTCGCTGCTTCGGTTTCGTGGGCGCGCCGGGGCGCGGGGTTCTGATGTTGCCAGGTTTGGGAGTTAACTCAAGAATGAGGACAGCTCGTCAGCTTGGCTCAAATCCCCAAGATGTTTCTTGGCAAGCCCCCGTCTCAGATCAAAGCCACCACGACTTAGGAAGCCTGGGCCGTAGACTGGTCGAGTTTCGGTTCGGGCGATAGCTCGCCGCGCCTGCGAGCATCGGCTGGAGCTGGAGCGCAAGTCCTCACCAATGCGCCTCAAGCGCAAGCATCCGGTGCAGCAAGCCGCCCAGTGACGCATCAGTGTGTGCTCCAGCACCCCGGCTCGGGGTACACCCCCCGGTTCAGCTGGGGCAAAGCGCACGTGATCGGTGAGCTGGTCCACCTGCGACAGCATCCGTCAGGTGGGCCGAGACCCAGTGGTCAACAAGAGCGCTCATCGAGTGACTTCGCATGCTCCCTTCGCCAGGCAAGGCAACCTCATCACCGAATGTCTTCCTTTTTGGCGCAGCACCCACGAAACGGGCAGCACCCGGACGGCCTTTTGTCGGCCGAACGTTGCTCTCCTCGACCCTCCCACCTTCCGTCACCTTCAGGCTTTTGGTTCTGCGAATCCATCACACGCGCCGTCACGCACGAGGAACACCCGCCAAGCACCCGTCCGTCACCCCCATGGCAGGGGTGGGGAGGCTCCCCACCCCATGGCAGGGGTCGCCTGAAAGAGCTGCGATCCAACCCCCTGCAGGGCCCAAAACGCGCTGCGCGCCACGTGGGCGTCGCTTCCGGGGCTCGGCTGGGCGCGGAAGCCGTCCCAGGCAGCCCGAGATTCAAGGGCCTCGACGGAGGGCCAAAGCCAGGCCTGGGTGAAAAGGTGCAGGTGAGGTGATGTCTTCACATCAAATGGGGAACAAATCTTTCGGAGTGAACAATTGATTCAAAAGGCTCTTCAATTTGTGAAAGGGTGGATAGTGGAGGGTGGTCTTAAGAGCTCAAAGAGGTGTTGGTGCTCGTGGGGTGGAGGCATCCTCCACCCCACGAGCCGAAGCCTAGTTCCAGCGTTGAATTCAGCAAAGCCCAACAGTTCCAACCATGGGCCATCCCATCTGGCTTGGTACTGCCCCCTTAGCTGCCGCCCAACAGCACCAAGCAACCACCGTGGACGGCATCGCCGGCAACCTTGCTTCCTCATCCAAGTAGACCGCACGGTGCTCACCGAGGTCGGGCAGATCCTCTGACAGCTCCCTGAAGCCAAGCTCGGTCAAGGAAGGGGCCCAGAGTGGTTCCCAAGTGGAGACTAATCACATGTTATATGATCCAATTGCTTATGTTGAAAGGCCATTCATGTGAAACGACGCGTTTCGTTCGTTTGGAGCTGCACTTCTCTGTCGCCCCGACCCGACCGGTCGCCCCAGCCGCTCAGCGCCAGACGCCGCGTCGCCACCGGGCAGCCACGGTTTCAGCTGCGGATGCAGCGGAGGCTCCCAGGACGCATGGCTTTGATGGTCCAGGAAGCCAGACGGCAACACCTCCCGGTGGCCAGAAGGCGAAATGAATCCAGAGATCATCCGGAGTCCGAATCTCTTTGATTTGATCTGGAAACCCAGTCCCAGTCCTAGAAAACAACTGCTTTGCCCAGTCCCAGTGCCACTTCCTGTGTGAAGGTTTGCCAGATATTACACTAACCATGGGTTTCCGGTTGGGACTGGGTTTCCAGGATCATAAGTTCATGATTCTATTGGAAAGAAGTAAAGCAGGAGAAATGGATATCTGATATCGGATGGATTGGTGGCTCGTTCCCGGTTCAACCCTCAGATCTCCCCACAAAGACCTCGGTGTCATTTCGGATCGAAATCTTGCTGCAGCGCAGCAGTGTCGATACTGTGAACAAAGACTCACCAGCTGGACTAAACTCTGGTCTACTCTGGGTTTTGGGACTCCAACTTCGAGCTGGAACACAGTCCTCCCAACCTCTTCATCCTGGTGCCACTGCACGTTCCGCTGGCTCGGCTCCGCAAAGAAGCCGCTCGCACGACCCGTGGCGTGGTCATGGTCGGTCGCGGCGGCTTTCTCCCGGGCAATGGTACCGGTCGCAGGCGTCGTCGCATCGAGGAAGAAGAGCTGGTGGAAGAGGCCTGGACTTGTCCGTGGTTGCTATGAGCTGGCGGAAGCCCAAACACTCCACGTGGCTGCCGCAGCTATGTCTACAACAGACTGTCTACGTGGTTGATTTCAGGGGTCATGCCTGGCATGAGCTGAGCGATTCATGGGAGTCGGCGTCCAGACTCGAAATTGTGGCGTCTTCGTCTTGAGAACTGTGAAACGATTTTTCTTCCTGGGGCCTCTCTTAAGTCTCAAATACTGGCCTCAATAGATGGAAGAAGCTATTTGCCACATAATATATATATATATATATATATTTGTGTTTTTTTCTGGATGACTTTTGCCTGTGAACTGTAAATGCTTGAGGCAATGCCTCGTGCCTCATGCCTGTGTCTCGTATCGAAGTTGCTTTGTGACAAATGAAACGGGGCACCATACACATTGCAAGAAGGAGAAATGTAACACTATATGTTGAAACTGATTATATATATATATATATCCAATTTTATACATTCGAAACATGATGATCATGACTACTTGCCTGCCTACACCCTATGGCCTATGACCTTCACTCAACCACTTCGCCCTAACTACACGGCAGCGCTTTCAACATGAACGGACGGATGCTTCGGATGCTTCGGTGGCACCGCACTGCTTCGGTGGATTGGAACCTCTTCGGTGCCTTGGAACGGAAGCGAAGCTTCCCCTACTTGGTGGACCTGTCCGAATGGGGGGACACCCGCCCGGTCACCGCCTGGTCACACCGCCCGGTCACACCGCCTTCCACGGCCATGGCGCCCGAAGGTCCATCGCACACAGCGGGACGGGCGTGGAAGAGGTGGAAGGAATCTCCAGGCTTGGTCCAAGTGGTTGAGGGAAGGGCTCCAGGATTATTTTTCAATGGGCTTTATCCGCAATGGCTTTTATCAGGATCATATATGTTTATCAAGGATTGTGGTGGGTTTTGCAATGGCTTTGTCCGCAGGACGGCTCCAGTTTCTCCAGATTTCACAGTGTGGGGATCCAGGCGGTTCGAAGGCACTCCGGTCTGTGCTGGGCGAAGCCGGGCTTGTGCTTGTGCTCGTGTCCTCCCGGCCACGCTCACCCTCTGCCAGACACTGCGTGGCTTCGGCTGCGAGGCGATGAGAGGTGTCTTCAAAGGTAGAAGCCAGGTGGACCTCAATATACTTGGAACATCTGCGAAACAGCCTCTAGAAGAGGGGGGTCGGTGTTTACTCAAGGCAGACCGTGACACAAAAAGCGTTTGGATGGGAAGGCATGCCCCTTGATCCCGACCCACACTGCAGCACGGCAGTCCCTTTGCAGCACGGCAGTCCGTCTGTCTTTCTCGGTCTCTTGTGTCAGCACAATTGCTGGACACAGACACACGACAGTCGTGGTCGAATCCTGAATTCGGTCCTGGCAACTGGAAGAGCCTAGGCCTAGTCCACTTCCTCCATCTTGGAGGCCTCATCCGCAGCACCCTCCACTTCCTCCAGAGGGGGCCTCGAGGTGTTCGGGAGCGATCCAAAGACGTCTGGCTCGAGGGTCCCGCGGTTTGTGGGGGGGTCATCTCCGCGAATTCCCAGTGAGTGGGGGGGGGGAAGGGTATGACATACCCTCCTCCAACCATCATGGGCCAAAGTGGATGGCATGGTTTGCAGAAAGACATAGAAAGACCCTTTTCATCCCTTTTCCGAATACAAACAGGGCGTTGTCCACTTCCATCTTTCTTGGAGGGTATCCGGGTATCACATATACTATATTATTCAAAAACAGAAGATCCGCACCCCGGAGTTTGGGGTTTCCCAGACCCTGCAAGAAGGACGAGACCAGACCTGGAGACCCCACTGACCGGTCTGAGACTTCACCACGAGCTGTCATCGACTTCAGTGGAACCAAAAAGATCGTCTTAAGGCCAGTTCGGGGGGCAGGTCATCGTCATCGCCCAAGCCCTCATCATCGTCGTCGATGCTCAGGCCGAGCTTGATCATGCGGTGAATGCGGCCGGCGAACTGGGTGGGCTCATCCAGGTTGAAACCAGATGTCAAAAGCGAAGTATCGAAGAGCAACCAAATCAAATCCTTGACAGTCTTGTCGGACTTGTCTGCGGCTGCCTTCTTCTTCAACTCAGCCATGATGGAGTGCTTGGGATTCACTTCCATGGTCTTCTTAGAGACCATGTAGGAGGTCATGGAGCTGTCGCGAAGAGCCTGTGCCTTCATGATGCGCTCCATGTTGGCTGACCAGCCATACTCAGAGGTTGTCAACACGCAAGGGGAGTCGGCCATGCGGGAAGAAATGATGACCTTCTCCACCTTGTCTCCCAAGACTTCCTTCATGAGCTTTGTCAGCGGCTCAAACTCAGCCTTCAGCTCCTCAATCTTCTTCCTGAGCTTTGTTTCCAACTCGCAGCACGTCCATGGGGGGGAAAAATCGGATCAGCACGTGTCTGAGATCCCAAAATCGGATCAAACTCTGAACCCCAGATGCCTCCTTTCGCAGCGAACCTCATCAAACACCTTGTTCCACCAGACACCTAGACACCGCATGACACCGCGCAGACCATCTGTTCCACTCCAGGCGTCTTTTCGTCCTCATCATCAATGTCAAGACCTGGACGCTTTGCGGAAGACGTTTGGCACACGAGCTGTTTTTGAAGACATACCCAAAAAAGCGCCGGTACGGTGTCCGTCGAATCTGTCTGGACCCCATGCTGAGCTTCAGACCCTCCTTAGTCGTACTCTTCAATTTCTTGCCTTGGATCAGCGATCCTCCACCGTCGAGACTCGCCCCGTTTCGACGGCGATTTCAGGCCGATGTGTCATATACACATGGAGCGGTGTCATTGGGAGATGGGACTATTGGTCGATGTGTCCCTATTGGTCGCAATGCTCAAGGAATGTCCTGGCAGTCTTCACATACAACATCATACAACCATGCCAAGTCGCCGTCGAACTCCTTGAGCTGCTGGGTGGCATACTCGTCGATGGGGTCAATCATGTACAGCACCTCAATGCCCTTCTTGCGCAAGGTCTCGAGGAAGGGTGAGGAAGACACTGCTGCAATGCTCTCACCTGTGATGTAGTAGATGTCATTCTGTCCCTCCTTCATGCGGTCCACATACTCCTTGAGGCTGATCTGCTCATCGCCAGACTTGGAGGTGTGGTAGCGAAGGAGTTCAGCTACCTTCGTTCGGTTGGTGGAGTCTTCATGCACTCCAAGCTTGAGGCACTTGCCGAACTGCTCGTAGAACTTCTTGTAGTCGTCCTTCTTCTCGGCAATCTCGGCGAACATCTCCAGGCACTTCTTCACCAAGTTCTTCTTGATCACTCGCAAGATCTTGTTCTGCTGAAGGGTCTCGCGAGAGATGTTCAAAGGCAAGTCCTCAGAGTCCACAACACCCTTCACGAAGTTCAGCCACTCTGGCATCAACTCCTCGCAGTCATCCATGATGAAAACACGGCGCACGTAGAGCTTGATGTTGTTGCGCTTCCTGACTTGCTGAGTGCCCCAACTTCAAGAATAATCAAGAATCTAAGTTTATTTCCTGCTACGAACTCCAATGCAGCAACGCAAAAAGTTTAAAGTATGTTCACTGGTCAAGTGAGCTTCTTCTTAGTCTCAAAGAGGTCGAAAGGAGCCCGGCGAGGCACAAACAGCAGCGCACGGAACTCCAGTTGGCCTTCAACGCTGAAGTGCTTAACAGCCAAATGATCCTCCCAGTCGTTGGACAAAGACTTGTAGAAGCTTGCATACTCTTCGTTGGTCACATCCTCAGACTTACGCATCCACAAGGGCTTGTTCTTGTTGAGCTGCTCCCACTCATGGGACACCTCCTTCACCTCACAAAGAATTACAACATCGCTGCCAAACTGGATTGAAAACCGGAACTGCTTGGCATTTGTAAGGCATAATTAGCTGCCCATTCCCCTTTGCAAGCGAACACAAATACAAACACAAATATTCTTGAGGCTAATGTCAGTTGTACATTGACTTTCTCCAAAACTCTGGTTCAGCTGCAGGAACAGAAATGTGCTTTCCGTCTCTCCCGTGATTTTTACACGTTCAAAGCTTTGACTGGGTCTGTTATTTACTCGAGTGTGTCATGGTTTCAGGAAGAAATCTTATGATTCCAGCTCGCCTTCTTCGTTTTCTTCTTCTTCTCCTCCTTCTCCTTCTCCTCATCGACCTCCTCGATCTTGGGCTCGTCACCTTCTTCCTTCTTCTCCTCTTCACCCTCATCCTCGCTGTCGGTGACCTCCTTCTCCTTGCTCTTCTCGACATAGAGCTCAATTGGGAAGCCGATAAACTCGGAGTGCTTCTTCACCAAGTCCTTCAGGCGGCGCTCCTCCAAGAACTCGGATTGGTCCTCTTTGAGGTAGCAAATGATTTTCGTACCGCGCTTGATCTCACCATGCACAAGCTCGGTGTCCTTCTGCACAGTGAAGGAGCCACCTGCTCCAGATTCCTCAGTCACTTCCCCAAAGAATTCAGGAAACCAATGAAGATCATTAAGGATCACACCGTTAACCTTTTAGAGTGGCAACAGGATCCAAAAGGTTAGACCTGTTTTGGCCGCAGAGTCCCAAATGTACTGCTCGTCGTCATTGTGTTTGCTAACCACACGAACCTTGTCCGACACAAGGTATGCGCTGTAGAAACCAACACCAAACCTCGGATTGGTGTCGGGAAGCCAAACAAGGTTGAGAATGAAAATCACCAAACCTATTTGAGCAAAAGTTGTCTCCCACTACAAATTCAAGAGACTGGCCAATCATGGAGATGTCACCCCCAGCGGCCATGGCCTCCATAAAAGCTTTGGTGCCTGACTTAGCAATGGTGCCCAAGTTGTTAATGAGTTCGTTTTTGGTCATGCCGATGCCAGAGTCCTCGATGGTCAGGGTCGAGTTCGTCTTGTCCGGCACGATCCTGGGGGGCGCACTGCTTTCAGAATGAACCAAACGCTCCTTCATTGTTTCAAAGCTCATTTGTTCACAAAATACCTTGAGACAAGTGGCTTGATGAAGAAATTCGGCTGGGCCTGCAAGCAAACAAGAGCGCGCTGTATGGAACGTTTGCAATTCATTACTCCCTCAACACCACCAAGTTCACCGCTAATTGCACCAAGAGCTATCAAACATCCAGTTCGGCCTCGATCTTGTCAGGGTCGGTGATGGACTCATAACGGATCTTGTCCAAGGCGTCCGAGGCGTTGGAGATCAACTCTCGCAAGAAGATCTCCTTGTTGGAGTAGAACGTATTGATAATCCTTAGCGGGAATCGATGAAAGATGCCTTAACCTAACACGGGTTAGAGGCACAGGATGCCTGCCAGGATTGCTTCACGACGATGAGAAGTGCAACTGTAGCAAAACCACAGCCACGGCCGCCAACCACCACCACGGCAACTACTCCTACCTGACAACTCCGGCAAAAAAGGAGTGTGCCGGCGCCAACGATGTTATGGAGCATTGATGAGCATGGTTCGTTGCTATCTCGCGGACTGCAACCACTTCAGGGCTTCAAGTGGGCACCAAAAACAAAGCCCCGAAGTCCACTTCAGGGCCTTGTCTGTAACAAGGGGAAGTAGAGTCCAACACCAAGGTTCTTTTTGGGCATCCGTTCGTAGAACGCGTTTGGAGTCTTGCTCTGTTCCTTGACTCTTCGACTTAAATTAAAGTTTAAAGAGCAGAAGGCTATGCCATACCTCGGTATATATACGCTTATATCGCTATATGGACGAAGTAGCGGCTGGATCCCCTGGAACCCCTGCCTTGCTTAGGTAAGGACACTTGGAGCCCGCTCATCTCACTCTCGCTGGAAACAGTTGCCTTGCTTTAACCAACAAGGCGCGAATGGCCGGCAGTAGCATCTACCCTTGCAGAGTTGACTTAGGTCTTGGGTTCCCACTCCTGCGGTCATGTTATGTCCCCTTTCCTTTCCCCTTCTGTTCCCTCCTTCGGCAGATTGCCACATTATGTGGGCTCTTTGACGGGGTGGCTATTTGTCGTGGATTGCAGCGCTATCTGGGCGCAAACCTGTGGTAAGTGGCAAGTGACAACTACCGACGGACCATGATGGACGGCCACGTGATGTGGCACAATTTAACACCACCTGATGTTATAGGCTAAACAAAATCAATGTCTGGCGTCTGTGGGGCCTCCACGCTTGGTCTCCATGCTTGGCCGGAGATGAGACGCCTTTTGAAACCCAGGCCTGAAGAGGTTTTGATCATCCAAATGGATGAGGTTTCTTCCACTTCTGCGTGCAAAGACTTAAACAGGAGCGGACTTGGGCGGTGGGTAAGCGAATGAGCGGAAATTCTCAACGCTTTTGTTTGGAATCCCGTGAAGATCCCCAAAGGCAGCACGACATGGGGAGGTCGACTTACTCATCGGGAGGTCGCAATTCGGGATGGTTTCTGACAAGGGCTCAAGCTCATCAACTGCTGGATGTCAGCATTGAAGGCGAAGGTCTCTGCCATTGCTGCAAGAGAACAGGCGAATTGGTAACTTCTCAAAATTTGGGAGCTGCAGTGTCTCACAGCCAAAACAGCAAAGTGAGAGAAATGGTGGATGAAACACATATGAAACCCTGCCGGGGTCACCGCCGCTTCTGGGGACACCATCCTGCGGCATTTACGCTGGTCATAGACGAGGCGTGGGATTGTTTTCTTCGGCGGAGACATGGAACTGCCGAAAGCACCCAGCCAGAAGATCTTTATTGAAACATGGCTCAGGAAAGGAACATCGTGTTTTTGACCAACGCCTCCAGCCTGCTGACCGCTATCCTGATCCAGAGAATCTCCAGTCCTACCCGAAGAATTGCCTCAATCAGGAAGATACTGTATCCCCTGTCCTGGACTCCTGACTCTGGTCAATCAGGAAGACTTTTTGGGACCAAACCATCAAACCATCCAAAGCTCAGTCAGTCACCAAACATGCACGGGGAAGGCCCAGCGAGCGGCGCGCGAACTCCGCCTGCGCTGCCGGCTGCGTACGCGCTCCGAGCGGAGGTTCGAATCGTTCATGGCAATGAGAAATTCATCCTCAGCCGAACTGCCTACCCTCAATTTCAGTCATCACAGGGAATCAAGAAGCACTTCTTCCACATCCCTCCACATCCACCCGAGCGCCTATATCGGCCATCGAAGAGAGAAAAAAACAAGAAAAAGACACGTCTTCGACCTCGCGCGAGAGCCGGCGAACTCGTGGCACCTCCTCGTTGGTGGGGCGGTACAAGCGGCAGTCCACATAGAACTGGGTTGGGTGAGGCCTTGTGCAGACTGGTCTGGCCATGCTGGGTTTACACGTGTCACGGTGCGTGCACCGGAGGCTGGTGCACCTAGATTCAGGTGACCGAGAAAGCGATGAGATCCGATGAGTGAGGTGACCGAAACAAGAGCTGCACACACCAAATACCAAACCCCAAGGCGCTGGACCGCCTGCGCCCGAGACAAGAACCACCCCACCCGATTCTGGACCACTTCGCATCCGCCAGAAACGAAAGTCCCCGGTGCCCATGCTCCGCCGTTGGACGTCGCGGTGTGGACCCCGGCCGTCCATGGATTGGAACCGGTCTCCGACGGTCTCTCTCCGAGCGTCCGGGAGTGGGTGGCGACTGTGCGGGTGGACGAATGGGGGAATGGATTCGTTTTTCCACCAGACCAAACTAATGGAACTGGAATAGTGGCCTACATGGATGGGGTCGTTTGGATGAGGGATGTACGTAACGATTACAGTCCCATGCATGTATCGCCTTGCGTTTTCTCAAGGAAACGCACGAAAAATGCACAAGAAAATCGCAAAAACGACGCAAATACAAAGCAAAAAAATGCAAAGGCAAAGACCAGAACGTTTTTGATCGCATTTGTTTTGTTTTTTGATTGCATTTTTTTTTGGCATTTGTTGTGTTTGTTTTTGCATTGTTTGTGCGTTTGTTGTGCATTTGTTTTGCATTTTTTGTGCGTTTTTTGCATTGGTTTAGTGGACAAATGCGTTTTGTTCACATTTCTTTTTCGCCTTTTTTTTGCATTCCAAGGCATCCTTTGGTGACTTGTTTTTGCGTTTTCTGTGCATTTTTTTCGGGATTGGTTTTGCAGTATTTTTGCATTGTTTATGCATTTCTTATGTTTTGCTGTGTCATCAGAACTAGCTTTAGCGTACATCATAACAATGGATGTTCCATGCTGTCCGGGTGTGGGGGAAAAAATTGGCTGGGAAATTTGACAACTAAGTATCCAGTTGCTGTCCAGCTTAAAGGGATCGCTTCCACTGAACATCGTGAGATAATTGGTGGTTGATCTATATAAATTCCTTCTCACAATTGTGTCAAAGAGAAATCACGAATTGTTCGCGAACTCCATGTTTAACTTTCGCGCGGGGTAAAATGGCGACGGTCGTCTTCTGTTTCCACAGATCTATCTTTCGCAGATCTTTCGCAAAACAAAATGCTCATCTTTCAAAGGAATTTTTGCAAACAACATAAAATGGTGCTCAATGAACCTAGGCCTTATGTATTTATGTCGACTTTTTGATCAACTACCAATTGCCATGGCCGGTGTGAAAGCAACCGTACTTCTCGAGATTCTCAGATTACTGGGTATACAGTGGTTGTTTCTCCGAACTGGCCCACCCTCCACGTCCAACCAGTCCGCACGAGTCCGAGGTCCCCCAGCTCCGCCGCGTGGAGCGCCTGAGCGGAGGCGGAGAAGCACGGAAAACACCAGTGGCCGAAAACCGCATCTGGATGGTGACGTGCAAAAGGAGACTCAGGGCTGCTGAGTGAAGTGATGGGATGTGTCCGCACGTTTGAGACCGTCGGTCATGGAGACTCGTTTTGACCTCAGCCAATGAGCGCCTTTCGTTCCCAACCCAGCGCAGCGTCAAGAGCACCCGCGGTGCCTTCATCATCGGCACGTCAGGACGTCATCGTCGCGGGTCATGTTTGTTCGATGCGAGAGATGGCAGAAGGAACTTGGGCAAACGTGAAGCAAGTTCAAGTCTACAGTGTTTGTTGTCGTTCTTTGTGTGAGGGGGCTTCATTTGGTCAAGCCCAACCCATTTTCCATTGATGAGATTTCAGATCATGTTTGGGTCGGACATGGTTCATGAATTCCACCTGGACACGTGATTCCAGTTTCTTGGGTGACCAAAGGGCGACTGGCTGAAGTTTCCGTTCCAGCACTGCAGCCAAACAGAAGCATCACACTCGAGCATCCTATGCTAACATGTGCAAAACTGCGTCAATTGCTGCTTTCGCCTGCCAACAAGAGCTATTGTCGGTCTATCACGCCCTTTGCTTCTTCTCAGGACTGTTCACAAGGAAACCGTTGAAGCTCTAAACCTTCAGGCAGGCGGCGGGCGCTCCTGCACGCCTTGCCATGTGCTCCAGTCGAGCTTTAGCCCCCGACTCGTGATCCGAGATTGGCCACCAACACTTCTTGTCAGCCTCCCACGCAAGGGCAAACTCTTTGCCCAATGGGCGCTCATTGCGATGCGCCTGCTTCTCGGGTGAGGGATCAAAAAAGTTAAAGGGCAATCAAAAGAAAAATATTCAACGGGGATCAAAAACATAAAAAGGTAATCAAAAAAAAATATTCTAGCCTACTGAGGATGGTTGGGGTTGAGCATCGGCCCAAAACAAGAGGAGGACAAGACCCGGAGACAGAGCTGGGTGACAGACAGGGGCGCGGCCAAGACAAGAGCAAGAGGAGGACCTGCAAATGCGATGGGCGACCCTTTACATAGTTAGTTTTCGTGGCAGGCGCAGTGCAAGAGTGCAGATTTCGTGGTGCTGGAGGGGAGTTGGGGGGAGGGCGCAGCGCCTCCCCCCAAAGCGAACCAAACGTTAAAATACAGCACAACAAAAGAAATCACTATATAGAAACTATATATCCTATCGCCCATTTCAGTGAAGGGCATCTAAAAGTGCACAAAAGGACCTAAGGCAACCGAAGCCAAAAGCATTGTACGCTTGCAGGAACCCTGCTTCTCCGCGCTGCAACCATGGCCTTCGAAAGCAGCCTCAGAATAAGAACTGGGCGAAGTGTTTGAAGCTTTCAAGCATTTCTTGAAGCTTCAAGCACTTCGCCCACCGAAGGCATGTCACTGCTACAAGGCTCCTTGTCTGGGTGGCCCCATAGTAGGGACTATCCCCACTTGAATTGCGCGCCCATGAAAAATTCAACAAGGGCGCACCGCACTCACCAGATAAGTTGAACAGCGAAGGAGGTTGACCCTGTTTGTGGCAGCATTTTGGGGGGGAAGAGGCAAGAGAAGGAAACCACACCATCTTCAGCAATGGTCCAACAAAAACAGTGCCAACAAGAGCCACCACCTTGCCAGTTCTACTCCTGCACCACTGCTCAGTACCCTGCAGTTAAAAAAACACGCACGCACACACAACAATTAAAATCCTGTGGTCAGCAACGTGCTGTTCAATCTGCAGCCCTGTCCAAACCACCGCCTTCAAAGCCCTGTTTCGTGGGCAAACTCTTTGGACCAACTGATTTGCGAAGCCCACTGATTGCCTCAGACCCACTGCGCTCGACCCGACGAAGCCCGTTTCCCCAGCGGCGCTGCCCCGACCCACGCACCGTTTGCCGCGAAAGCCTCGCTCTCAGACGACAGTAGGCTGAGAGATTGGTGAGAAGCAGAGGTCAGATCTGTCACCGAATCAGCTCAAAAAAGGAGACTGTCCTTTCAAAACGCCGTGGACCCAAACTCTCAGATAGGAATGGGGATGAATGGGGTATGTTCACGCAGGCCTGTGCAATGGGAATCGTGGTCAATTCCCCACTCAATCGTCCACTGACCCCTTCAATAGCGCAGCCGAGGGGGGAACCAGGCGCTCTTCGCCTTCCCATTGCCGCGGATTTGTTGCATCTACCGTCACCCGAACCGCGCACGGACCGATTGGATGGATGGCATTGGCCTTAAGATGTCTTAAGGGTCCTTGACAGGCACTGGTCATGATTTCTGAGCCCCCGTCACGAGTGCAGAAGAAGCTGTGGTAGTTACAAAGTGACCCAGACAGGGTTCTTGGAAGTCTTTGAATGTCTCCAATCCTATCCATGTGATGTTTAATCAATCTTGACCCTGCTACAAAGATGGCCGTAAACCAGGGAGGTTGTCTGAGAGCTTTGGCAGGGCGAGGGTTTTTGGTGGCCGGGTCGTGTGCCATCCATTCAGCACGTCCCCACACACCTAAGTGCCTGAGTCTGCCCAAATAGAGAAGCATACCGCCCGAATTGGTTGACCTCCTTCTGTTTCTCGGAATCGTCAACACCGCGTTTTCATCGCTTTTTCCCCAATCAACGAAGCAAGTGATGAACCCAACACGGTTAATAAGGTTCGTCCGAGGTTCGTTGCTGTGCATTGGAAAAACCAGGGGCTCTCTGTCTTTGTGCCAATCAAGACGTCCACTTCGACGTGGGTCCAGTCCACCGGTTCAGATGCACCTCAAGACCACAGACCCACTCAGAGCACCGCACCTGAAGCACCAGACAACTGGGAGTCCATGGGTTGACTGTCCACCTGTGGAGAGAGACTCCAGAAAACACCGGGCGAAGGCGGCGAAGACCCAGACTTCATGGTTGCACCCAGCTACCCTGTTGAAAACACCCCACAAACGACGAAAAAGCCTGGAAGATGCAGAAAATGAATAAACAAAAAAACACGAGGAGGCGACGGAGGCGTGTTTTACGCGAAGGTGAACAAAAACACCGGACCCACGTCGAATGAGTGCGCCCACCTCCGAACGCCGTGCGAACGTAGTAACAAGCCGCTACTAGGAACAAAGGGCCTCGCTACTAGTAACAAGGAAGCTACTAGAGTTACTAGGGGCGCACCTGGCCTTACTACGTATAGTAACAAGGAAGCTACTAGTGGGCGTTCACTTCCGGGATTCGCTGGTTCACCGCCGAACCCGGCCACCAGGTGGCGAGTTCTCAGGTCATGAGGCATGATCCTTCCGCATGTCTTCCACAGCCTCCGCATGTCTTCCAGGGTTCGCCCTGCAAAACTGCCCTGCGGGGACCCTCCCGCGCCTGGTCTTCGAGGCCCCTGGGGCATCCTGAGCTGCTCCCATCCTCTCAGACCGACACGCAGGACTCATAGGTGGGGATCATGTACCTGGCGGCTTCGTCGATGCCAAGACCACGCGAGGATTTTGCGAGGAACGGGAAACACACGCACTCGCGGGCTTCGTCTGTTCAAAAAGAGGGGGGTGGGGTTCCTTCTTGGGGATGAACCTGCCGAGTTCGAGTAAAAACGAGGACTTCATCTGAAATGGTAATGACTCAAAAGCCTTCAATAGCCGCAAACCCTGTCCATCTGCCTGGAAATGGAATGCCTATTGGCCTATTGGCCTATGGGTGTGATTTTGGAACCATAGCTAGATCGATTGCAAAACTGCTGGAAGAATGAGCAAACAGGGTCTTCCACCACAAGCTGTGAGACCAATGCAATCTAGCACCCCAATATATGCGCGAGGTTCTATCATGATAATGCATGATAATGCGTCTTCAGAAACTCCCAATATCTTTGAATCACTTCCAACGGTTCAAAGCCAAGACCGTCTCCTGAACTTCGACCCCCTTTCGCTGCTTGACGTTTGTTTCATGTCTTGTATCTCCACCCCGTGTCACGGCCAGATGATACATGCCCGGCCCGAGTCACTTGATGTTGATGAACGCATCCTCCCCACCATGAGTCTCCAGTATCTCCTGGTGAACGCCACGCGCGTGCCGAAAACCACATCGCGATGTCGGCGTCCAGCGAGTTGTTTTTCAGTGGAGACCGTAGAATCTTGGCTTGGTAGGCCTACTCAGTGCTCAATCTTGCAACCCCAGGACTGGAAGATTTGAGCCACATTGACCACTGAAACCCCCAATGGAGTGTCTGGGAACCAATCCGAACAGGAAGGGCTGAACCCACCTTGCACATCTTCCGCTGTTTGGGCCGTAGCAACTTACCGATCGTCGTTTTCTTTTGCTCTCGTCAGTCTGCCCAGAATGTCTCTCCAGAGTCTCGTCGATGAGGGCGCCCAAATCCATGCGCTTCCGTTGGGCATAGTCCTCATGCGGCGGGCTTGGGAAAGTCATAGCTCCCGAACCATCATCGTCCCAACCTAACTGAAACAGTGTCCCAACCATCGTCATGGACCCGGACAGGTCCACACCAAATCTGGTCTTAGGATGTAAGAAGATGTAAGAAGAAAGGTCTCTGTTGGCTGCGCGATGCATGAATGCCATGCCACAGCTTGAATGCCATGGAAGGCATCCCTTCAGCTTCCGCTCTAAGAGGTTTGGACCCATTCCTACGGCAGGGCCACCAGACCTCATGGTCCAATCGCTCGACGTCCAACCGGTCGCGAGCGATGGACACTCCGGCTCGAGAGGGCGTTGCCTCGAGGTGCCTTGAGGTGGGGTGCGACAACCTGTGCGACCCCTGACAGGTCCTGGGGTGCTCAAAAGGTCCAGACTAGGAGCCTGGTCCTGGTCCTGGTGAGAAAACCCAGACCCCTCCATTGACCATCCGGATCACTATGGATCACTCATGGTCCAGGGTCGCGTCTGGGTAAAGGCAAAGGACACCCCCAAAAAAGAACCAGAGATCACGTATATAGAGGCACCCAAACGCCCAACAGCAGGTCGTCCAAGTTCCGGATCGGACTTGGAACCCACCAGAATCAAGCCAGGAAATTCACCCACAAAACCACGCTGAACAGCGTCCCCCACTCGAACCATCGAAAGGTCCGCCACCGACGAAAGGAACGCATCGCCGCTTCCGTACTAACGAAACGCCCATTGCGCCAGGGCACCATATGATCGAAGGTGCTCTTGGTGGCCGACTTGAAGATGTTGAGTACCTCGACATGGTGCGCTGGGTTGCTCACTCTCCCTCTAAGGGTCTATATATATATATATATAGATACCATATGATACCATGGCGTCTAGGGTCTAGGACAAGACCTTTGATCCCAATCACGGTTGGCCATCAAATAAGGGAAGGGGTTGATTTCGTGCGAGAGGCTTTGCGATTGGCAAGATCCGAGGTCCCGAAACCGCCCAAGGCCCTTCCTGGCCCTGTGCCACCCTTCCCTGCGGCACTGGCAGAATCTGCCGATAGTACGGAACCAGTGCCTGCCCGGCGCCGCTGGCGCTGTTTGGGGCAGTTCTCTGACGACTTAGGCACGGGCAATGCTCTTGGAAGAAGATTCTTCTCAATATTTTGAGTACTTTGGAGGCACTGGGAGGGAAGGAGATCTCCTCTGCTTCAACTTGAAACGGTGAGTAAGAAAACTCCCATCCCTCCGACCCCTACAATCCCAAGAGCCCGTGGACACTCACATATATATCGAACCTGATTGACCTATGTTTGGTGGCAGAACACTCGACCCTCATCGACACTGGTCGATGTCCGCGAGGGTGTTGATCCATATTCTCTCCGTTTCGGCACCCTTCTTCGAAACAGAGACATGGAGAACGTCCGTGTTCCGCACGCCCTTTCGAACCCCACCGTGTGCGCGGCGAGCGTGCCGTGCCGGGGCCCCGGGTCCCGCCTCGCCCACCATCTCCGCGGACAAGACCAAGGTCTGTAGCACCTCGCTGAGCTGAGGCGGGCGGGGGAAACAAGGAACACCGGGTTTGACCGGCGTCACGCAACGGTTGTGTTGCAAACTTGCTCTAAAACCACAAAGCCGAAGTGAGGTCAATCAACACTGCTGAGTTTCACACCTGAGAATTGAATGGTCCCGGAATTGGCTTAAGGAAAATCTACAGGGCGACCATAGGAGGTGAAAATACAAGGGTTTCCTGCAGCTTTTCCTTAAGGAAGCAATTCATTGAACATGGAAAAGGAAAAACAGCTCCTCCACCACTCCCCTGCCGTGTTCTGCGCCTTCATGGTCGTCACCATGACTTCAGGGTCTCGCCTGGCGATGATGAAGTCTCTGGCTCTGGCACTTGGGCATGATGGTTTCCATCAAAGCAACATATAGTTTGAGTCGAATAGAGTGGTCCGAACCTTCATACTTCGAGATCCAAAACATCCAGGTGCTTCGACACCACTTCCCCAAGGGGGTTGTTCTTCACCTTCAGATCCACTGATCCCCAATTGGATTCACTCCAATCCCCAATGCTTCCGGCTTCCCTCCCTCCCTCCGACCGGTGCTCGGTCGACTCCCAAACCGCCGGGCGCACGTGTTCAAGGCCTGGCCGACCGCCGGCGGACGTGTGAACCGGTCGAAGGAGGAAGCCGAGGGATCCGAATGGCCGAAGGGTGTTCGAAAGGTCGAAAGTTCCAAGATGACATTTGAAAGGAACCAGGGTTGTGGGGACGAGGGTTCTATTTTGGAACATCCTATATAGCTACCCATCAGAATGTCCTCTTAGTCAGCAAAAGAGATTCCCAGAGGATGCAACTCAGGTGGATAAGTACGAGTTGTTTGATGCCGCTTCCCCCACCCCTTTCTTCTTGGCCAGGTTCCAAAACGTGGAGGACGATGGCCAGGTTCCATCTCGGAGAAAGGACTCTTCTTTACTGTGAGTGGCTGAGGAAGGACTGCAAACCACCAGTGGCCAGATTGGCAAGCGCAACACCGGCGAATTGGCCGAGAACATCCCCGGCGGCAGATGCATCCAGATGGAGCTCTCCTTTTCGTTAAGGGGGCTACCGTAGCAAGCTCAAATCAAAATTCCTGAGAACTGTTTTTGACTCAAACTGGATCCTGTTGCAGAGCCACAGCGACGAGTGAAGTACCCTTCTGATTCAAAGATTCCACATCTCACTTAGCTACGTTTTGGGGTGCACCCCACCCCACCCGTCACGCGCTACGACGGGACCCCTAAAAGAAACCCGTCGCAAAGACGCCTTCTTGATCGGGATGATGAGCTGCGGCACCACGGGCAGAATCTTGGAGCCGCCCTCCGCGCCGCTCCACGCCGCGCGCCGCGCGCCCGCGCCGTCCGCCGTCGGGGCGCTGGGGTCGGGGCGTTCGGGACCTCCGTTCGGGGGTGGAAACCGAAGATGTGACCCGAGGCGACGAGGGATGCGAAAAAAATGTGAACCGGTTGGAAAGATTTGGAAAGGCAGCCAGAGGGGCTGTGGAAGCATCAGACCGTAGTTCACGGTGTGGCCCAATTGCGAGGTTCTTTTGTGACCTGAAGAAATAGGACCCGTTCTTTCACCTGCGGTACCCAACTGGGAGAGTCGAAGGGTTCGGGTTCTGACCCATCTCTGTTGGAATGTTTCAGTGTACAAGTTTGCTTTGTTCATCTTTTTTCATCACTCCCAGCAAGATCATAAGACCGCTGACGGACCCAGTCGACAAAGTCTCAGCTAAAATCTCAACATGCTTCAAAAATCTTCAAAATAGCTCAGCCACCCAAGCTTCAAGTGATTTCCTGCAGTGACCTGCACCTGCACGAGGACCCTGACCTTCCCTTGGCCCATCTGCCGTGTGCCCCCAACAATGGGTATCCCACCTTGAAAGTTGATGAACCCAGTAAAACATAGTAAAACATAGTAAAACATCAAAAAACTGTCCTCTGAAAAAGGTATCATCACTCATCACCCTCCGGCATCCTCCAAACATCTCCGCCATCCACCAGAAGCCTCACCCTCCTTCCGATGGCTGCTCCGGTCCAACCGCCCCCGGCGGCCGGTCCCGACTCCGGAGGCGGTCGCTTCAAGGCCTTCTCGAGGAGGTTGTAGACTCCTTCCACCGCAAAGAATCGGTAGGGCTCCTCCTTCTCCCGAAGCCTCGACCGCGAGACCCGCGAGGACCCGGCGAGGACCCGGCCTCACGCGAGACGACGATCGACGACCCCGGTGAGACGGAGGAAGACGAGTGACCAGTCGAGACGAAGAGTCACCCGGCTTTTTGGAGGGTGAGTTGGATGGAAAATCATGTGGGTCAAGGGAGGTCCGCGGGGGGGTCTTTCTGACCTCTTCACAGATCATTCCAAACCGAATATGTCTTCTTCTCCAGCCAAATTTCCAGAAAGTTTCCCAGAAACTGGCTGGCTTCTGTTTTGTCCAACTTGCCATCACCTCCACAGCTGTGGAAGTACGCAGCTGAACCTCTCTGCATCTGCCAGTTCTGTCCGAGTTCTCCAAAAGACATCGCCGCCAAGGCAACGCTCAAATCGCCCAATGATGGTCGATGTCACAGAGGATCGAAATTCCAAGACACCGAAACATGGTGTCAAGTTCTGCACGCCCGCTTCCGCACTTCCTCCCCTGTCAAATCAAACACAAAACACAAGTTGACCAACACAGTGCTCACACGGACGGAACGACAACACGAAGCCCGACACGATGTTTGCACATCCCCTCTGTTTGCGCTGCCCTTCTCGGTCCGGGACCCATCGAAGAAGATGGGCAAGTAGTGGTGGTAGTCCAACTTTTCAACATCCACCTGTCGCACCATCCCCCCACGCGGAGTCCGAGCCCGGCGCAGGGAAGCGACGGACGTCAGGCGACGAACCGGTCATGCGGAGCGTCCGGGGCATTCTGAGTTGACTAGCTTATGAGGTCCAGCTAGCTGGCAGAACTCTTTTGGGCTGCTCAACGCCATCCCCAACGCGCGCGGCGTATGGGAACCAACCTCGGTTGGTAGTCTCAAGTTGAGGAGGATGATCCTTGATTCTCAACTGTCCCGGTATTTTGCCACTGAAAGGTGTGGAAGTGCAATTCTGCTCCTGCAGGGCGCCCATTGCTCCACCCCAAACATGGCCACCAAAGTCTAGGCACAACCTTCCAACCTTCACTCCACACTGGTCACCATGGTCACCACCCTCTTCCCCTCGCTCCTCCCTTGCACCGGCCTTCCAAGCAATTCGATTCTGGGTGCCCGTGTGCAGGATCTGCGGGGCCATCCGTTCCGTTTGGGTAAAAAGCAGCAGGTGCAGGCTGAGCAGGTCTGGAAACGAAGGGTCGTTGGATTGTGGACAGGCAAAAAAAAACTACATTGAAAAAACTGGATAAGGTGACCTTCCACCCGAAAAGGCACCTGGACATCTAAGGCTGGTTGAGGTTTTCTGCGTCCGGGTCTTCCGAGGGTCTAAGGTAGAACCCAAGAGCGAGATATGAAATGATCACCAACCGGGACAGGGACCCCAACCTGAGGATCGAGGGAAGACTTAAGGAAGAAGACGTTTTTTTGTAAGGGGTGAGAGCCAACAAGTAGGTTTAGTCTACAATGGAGGTTTTGTGGGGGTTCGTTTCTGAGCACTCCAAATCCACAGCGGCCACTAGCTGGCAACTTCTTCAACCTACCACGGTTTGGAGTTGCAGGTTGGGACCCCCGGCCAGATGCCGGCTGCTTTAGAGGGCTAAGTTGCCAGGTGTTTGGGGGGTCGAGTCGAGGAAACCGACGGATTCTGGCATCTCTCTCTCTCTCTCTCTCTCTCTCTCTTCTTCAGCCTGGGGCAATCTTGTGGCAATGGACCTGTTTTTATAGTATAGTGCAGGTCGATTAGCTATTAGCTACCGGGAACCTTCTCTTCATTCTCGGTGCCCACAGCCAGATGACCTACAAAACTGGTCACGGGTCACCCGTGAGCTTCATTTCATTCCTTTTGATTCCCTGGTGTGATGGTCACTTATATCATTAGGCCTGTAAGTTAGGTCATAAACAGGGACTCCAAAAAGGGCCACTGGGAAGGTCCTGGAAAACTGGAAATGCTACGCGGATGATGTAGCAGGACCCAGTCTCCGACCCCTTCCAAAGGCCACCAGACGTTCCTCACCTGGATTGGCAGGTCGTTCCGGTCGTAGAAGCGCCGGAACTCCGAGGGCTCGATGTTCCGCCTGGAGCGAAGACCGGACCCTTGGCCTCGGCACGGCCTTCGGGCCTTCGGAGGAGGGAGGACTTTCAGATGCAAAACCTTATTTTAGAAGACGAGACAGGAAGGTGAAAAATGCAAGACTCAGCAAGACAGCGAACTGCTGGTGATTCAAAAAAACCTTCGGATGCTTCACCTTTCAGGAGACTGCGAAGAACGTTCAGGGTATACCGGCTATGGCACACCAATGCTATAGACTGCTGTGAAGCATCTATAGTTTGTTCAGAGTAGATGGCACAAGACCTTGAAGGAAGGGCGGGTAACTCCTCCCAGGTCGTCCGTTCATTCTCGGTGGTCCGCCATGACCCACCTTCTATCATCACTGATTCTTCTATCCTCTTTGTGCTCACCATCACTGTACATCCATCCACAAAAGAAAAGGCCTTCCCTCTCCACCGGCCCGTCCGACGTCAAATGATAGAGGAGTCAATGCCAGGCTGCCCATTTAAACAGAGACCTTGGTTGATCTGGTCTGTACCTGGAAGGTCGTTCGCTGCATGCTGCACCAGGGCTCGAGGTTGAACGACCCATCCCCATAGACCTATTGCTTGTACACGACCTTCCTCAAAGCTCCCACCTTCTTCAGCCCGTTCCCTTCCACAGATAATAGACTCTTGACTTTCTCTCACCCAGGCCTCTTTAGAGGTATTTCAATCCAAAAGGGGGGGGCGTCCTTAATCAAGAGTCAACATCATCCATCGAAGATATACCCCTTCCAATCGCCGGAAACCACGCCGCTCCTGGCCTTCGGAAGGCACCCGCCATCGGTGGCCCACTGAGCGAGCGGGGTGAGGAGTACCAGGCTGCAGGATGGTTCTACATGTTCGTATGGAAAGTTCTATTCAACAGTCAACCTGGATTTCTGCTTTTCCTCTCCGTTGACCGATTCCAACGGCCCCGCCTTTCCAGCCGTGGCGTGGCCACCGGCGAGCGCGGGGAGGCCTTTTGGCTCTCCCGCGGTGTAGGCCTGGAGCAGTGGCAACGCCAAGAAGAGATCAGAAGAGGCCCCAGCAAAGCACAGAGCGAACAAACAAATCTATAGTTGCATCATCCACATGTTGGTGGATCACCCTCACTAGAGTCACACCTACCCTACAGGCCAAAAAAACTCATCTCCACCAACAAAGGGTCCTGGCTCAGGAAAACCCTAAAAGAACACCTCAAACCTCCTCAAATCCTGTTCTCTTGCTGAACTCCAGAGAATCCACTTCCGGCTGCAGGGCTCCGCGTTTACTCAGGCCAACCCGACCACCCGCTCCTCGCGCTGCGCGGCGTCTTGGCTCCGCGCGCCGACGGCAAGGGCTGGCGGACAGAGGGTTGCGGTGCGCAGAGAGGGTCGTTCAGGTCGGGAGCAGGGAGGATGTGGCACCAAACATGGTGGAAAATGAATGAAAAAGATATGGAGGGTCTTCCACTTCCATTGTTGGAGGGAGGGCTCTATCCAACTATCCTACTGATGGAGTGGGATGATTTCTATTTGCAGAGGCAAGTCGTCTTCGTGGTCCATGATGATCAGAGCGAGCTAAGCAGGAGCAAGTGCCAACAAATCTGGCAAGCCAAACGTGGGGCGAGTGGAGGTACATCTTGAAATTGGCAGATTGATCAGGCAATCATCAGAGATTGGAGTCCAAGTCCAAACAGCTAGCCTAGGTTCTCCCACCCAGAACTCCAGTACACTACGACTTTGGTCCTTTCTGCCAGTGGCTCAAATTGAGTGAATCCAAAAAATGAATCCAAAATGTTTGCCAAAAATCCATTCATCTCCACCCGTGCCTCTAAGGTTCTGGGTGTCCTGGGTGTAAAGGTGGCGCTCCCCATCACCTGCAGCGCAATGGACCTGAGCGCCGCGGAAGCCGAGGTGTTGATCATGGAACCCCAGAAGTCTAAAGACCTTTTTTTGACAACACCGAAGTCAAGCTTCTTGCTACTGGTAGCAAATTAGCTACTACTAGCGATGCACTTGTCACTAGTAGCGATGCACCTTGTTGCTAGTAGCCAAGGAAATTCCTTTTCGGATCACCTAAAGACCATCTAAAGAATGGTCGACTGGACCTAAGGGAAGAGATGATGGATAGATCCACCCCATATGCCTTAAGTCGGTGTACCATGGAATATCGGATGGATTGGAGCTAAAGACCCACGACCGGATGAATAGGGATTCCAAGGTATCTAGCACGAAGCATAGACTTCCAAGCAGTTTCGTGTCCCAACCCCCTCTCCATCTCCCCACCATCCACCACTTCCCGTCCACCCCTTTAAAACCAGTCCTTCCCCCTACCTACCGCTCGACTCTCACCGCTCCGCTGCTTTCAGTGGCACATTCGTCCGTCCGGACCTTACTCGTACCTTGCTACTAATAGCTATTCGCTACAGCCGTAGTCATGCCAGGAGCTATAGCCGTAGCTTCCTTGTTCCACCCCTGGGGCGCTTCCCGGACCGGACCGACGTCCGCTCCCGTAGCTGCTTCGCTCGTCCGCTGGCGCCCGGACCGCTTCGCCTCGTCGGACGGGCGGGTGTAGTCGGTGGGGAAGTCGCCGAAGGGCGATTCTTGCCCCTTCGGCAGCCTGGCGCGGTACGGGCGGTGAGGTCGCCGCGGCGCGAAGTAGTGTGGTTGGTGAGTCGCCCGGTGAAAGAACCGGGGGGTGGTTCTCACCGGCGGGAGGCATTTGGGGGGAAAGGAAAGGAATTTGGGGTGAAAAAGCAAAGGATTTCGAGAGTTTGGGGTCACTCCATTGGCTCCGTCCTTCTGCCCGTCCTGGTTCGGGAACCGCGCAGACCCATCCAATCCAACCGGGCGAACCTGTCTCACCGGACCCTCTCCGGCCTACCAATCAGCTTGTCCATCTTCTTCCGGCCCGGCTCCCGCATCCGCCGGAACTCGTCCTCATGGACCTGAGAAGGAGGGAGGGCTGAAGCTCGTACTGGACGTGAGGAGAGCTCGGCTGAAAAACGGACCTTTCATTTCACCTGCAAAAAGCAACTCAGAACAACTTGTTCTAGCATATTTTTTGTGAAAGTGTTGTCATATATTTAATTAATATTAACTAATCATGTTGCATGTCAATGGAATCAAAGCACCAAACACTTTGAATGTCGCTTGAACCCTTTGAGTGTAGCCACCTTCCTTCAGGGACTCCGGGCCCTAAGGAAAAAACTCCAGATGCATCTCTTCGACCCAAAAAAGTCGCTGACTCCCTGAGTTTCCCTGGAAAATACAGGGAAGAGCTTCTTAACGTTGATCCACCTGTTCTATCCGCCTATATATCCGCTTTTTCTGTGGAACAACTTGCAGGGCACGATTTCTCGGCATCCACGAGGTACAACGGCCTTTGAGGCGGTGTTGACCGATGGTGTGGCCGTGCCAATCGCACCCGAAAAGCCACCAAAGAAGAATCACCACGCATCACCCATCCGAAGCATTCGGACCCACATCGTCATGAGTCAGGTCCCGGACCAACTGTGCTGCAGCCGAGATCTTGCTCAGGTACGACATGACCTGGTGAGGCGCACCAAACGCACCGGGCTCCGGTCTGGTCTCCGGTCTGACGGTCCCGGTGGTTCTTCGGACCCTTTCGGGTCCAGAGGTGATCTCCATCGGGCCGGGCCGGGCTCCGAGTCTCGGAGCAGTGCTAGTTCCGGATCCCTCGTGTCGAGCAGTGCTACACGTCAAACGGAGAACTGGAATAACAACTGGCAAAGGTCTTCACCAAAATGTGAAAGAAAACGTCAATGTAATTGTTCCCAAAATGTATAGATGTATGAAATATTACAAAACCGAGCATCGCTGCGACTTTCAGGACCTGCCAGGGTGCTGGACTATGTAATTTCTCCTGTGGTCAGGACTTCACCCGGAAGTGGAGCCCATTGGGCCCGAGGGGAGTTCCCCCACAAGGCCCGTGTGGAAAATCGAGCATACAGCATTACAGCATACCTAATATCAAGAGGTTTACAATCCAAATGGGGTTTTGATCAATCAAGAGTCTACATTTGCGCATCAAGCCATGCAGCCATTGGAGGAGGTTCCCATCATTAGAGTCCATTGTATGGAGATCCGAGTGGTCAATTGCTAAACGAAGTGTGCACACAGTGGGCCAACTCCAATTATGGCCAGGGTTGAACTCAGAACAACGCCTCCACACTCCTTACCTTTTTTATCCTTTTTTCATCATTGGCAGGTCACCCGTTTGTATGAAACCCTAGTCGCTTGATCATCCTGTCCATCTGCCAGTCTGAACGCCAGACCCCACTCCCCTGTCGTGTTCAGCAAGGTACCCCGAGCGGCGGGTTCGCCGGGATCCCTTTCGCGCCGTCCTCTACCCCCGCCGGGTGGGAATCCAGGTGGGTCGTTGACAGAGCCCTGAAGCAGCTGTTCACCTCTTCAGTGGGGGATTCCACAAGATTTCCACACATCTAATGGCCATGCCCCCAAGTAATGGCACGGAGTTGATGCATCTTTGTGCTGCATCTAAGATCACCATGTCAAACCTAGTCTCTCTGGCTTCAAACATCCTCACACCGGGCGGTGTTTCGGAAGCGCGGGATCCACGGTGTTCCTTGAACCGAAGATTCGGAGGCCGACGCAAACAAACGACTGGAGTGGGCTCAGACCACATCTTCCAAGGACTGGGAAAAGGACGAAAACGAGTGACCTGTTGGATGGTCCGAGTGATTGGATGGTCCTCACGTTTTGAATGAACAACCAACTGGTTGTGCAGCTTGTTTTGTTGGACATCACAAGTGCCTGTGTCGAAAACCTGGGGAGATCACTTCCAGAGTGAATCCGCCACTTCTTCAACCTCAACGGTATCCAGAAACCACCTTAGTTGCGTCCAAACCCACCTGCCGCAGGGCGTCTGAGTTCAGGGGGCCTTCCGACGCCGCGTTATCTCCGACCGCTGCCATCACGTCCCCCAAACCCGTCGAGCCCCGCCCGCCCAGTCCGTGGCAACTCGGATCCCGTGCCGCGGTTTTAAGACGGTCCAAGAGGTCTTGAAACACGAAATGGACCCGGCAGAAGGTGTCGCCAGCGAGTACCAGCGGGCCGGTAGGGAAAAGCGAGCGGCTGTTGGAGGCTCCATCCTTGATTCACGTGCCATAGAGGCTTGACGTGTCAAATCCCCAGGTCCTGCTTGCGAGTCCAGCTACTTGTGTGGGTCAGATCTCCTGATATCCATCCTTTTTGCTGGGCCCCAGGAAGCCGATCTTGGCCACCAAGACATCTCAAAAAGACCAGCCTTTGGAGCAAAGATACATTGAATGTGCGATTTCGTGAGGCACCTGAAGCTGAATGACCTAGAACCTGAATGGCCTCTACGTTTGGACATGGACCACCAATCGCCCAACAGATGTCTTTTTCCTCTCAAAACAAATGTGAAGTCTGGATTCCAGCAGAAGAAATTGCTGGAGTGCTGACCTCCTGAACTGTCCACCAGGTTACGTCCAATCATTCCGTTTCGGGAAAGCACGACGGACCCAGTTCTGACCCGCTGGCGCACACGCCACCTGCATGGAACGTCCCGGGAAAGGTGCGTGGTCACACAGACCACCGCGGTGCTCCTCACAGTTCACGGGGGCGTGTGGAGCCACAGGAAGCGCTGAACATGCCAACGCGATGGCTTAAGGGATGGCACCTGAGGGCTAATGGACCTGGAATTTCCCCTGCCCTGAAAAAGCCCTTGGAGAGTCGGGGGCATTGTTGCTACTCTGTTCGGGTGGTGTTCCATCAAGGGAATCGCCTGATGGCACGGTGTGGACTTCCTAGAACCTAGAACCTGAATGACCCCAATTTTTGGACTACTAACCAACCACCCAGGATATGGTCTTTCCTATCAAAACTGGTGTCGAATGGATTCCAACCACCCCTTGATTCAATACCTTTCTCGAACAAAACTGTGTTTTAAGGATGCTACAAAACCAGGTCCACCCCCCCTTTTAAATGGTCTTGGAAGGCTTACAGGGTGCACTCAGCAGCTCCGACCACTCAGCAGCACCACAAAGGGCCTGAGCTAAGCCAACAAAGCTCGGTCTAGCCACTCGGGACTGAAGCTAATTACTGCGACCACGAAGTCTACTTAGCCAATGAAAACGAGTGGGGCACCGCGGGTGGCACTTAGATTTCCTGGACCTCCCAGGAGGAGCCAAGCAATCCAAAAGATGGTGGCTCCCCCTTGAGGGACAGCCCCGTTCGAAAGGGTTTCACCGCCGCGCGAAGAAGAAGCTCTGGCCGTTCGGCAGAGCTCCCGTGCAGACGGTGGACCTTTTGAGGTGTCCCAAAAAAAAAGAACGGGAACGCATGTTCAGGACTGGCCACAATCAATCCGTGGAAAGAGGTCCCAGACCAGAGGGCTAGATTCGATGGCAAGGATGGAAGCACAATCTTGAAAGAACCCTGAGACAGGGAAAAACATTGGCACAGGGAAAAACATTGGCTTCACTGACTGCTCGGGGTTGCGTTGAATCATTATATAGAGGTGTCAAGACACGTAAAGGAGTCCGTCTAATCTCTTTTCTACCACCCTCGCCATCGGTCCTCCTCTCTTCAAATCTCCTACGTGTACGAAATTAGGACGCCTGACCGCGGCTGTTCGAACGGTCTGCCCGACGTGCACACACTTGTGGTGCCCGCCCAGGCACCGTCAGCCATCCCAGGCGCCCAGAAAAAAGCCCGGCTTCATCTTGGGGGGCTCCTCGAGTGCGTGGAGGGGGTGGCGCTCGGGCGCTCCGTCCGGTGAAGGGCTGGGAGTGAAAAGGGAGATCCAAAACGAAGAAGGTCAGTCAGCTTGAACACTGATGTTCTTTGAACAGTGAAGCACATAAGACTATCGCCCATAAGACTTCGAAAAAGACTAGAGTCTAGAGCAGGTCCAGCTTTCCAAACATCTGTCGGATCTCATCCTGGCCTGTAGAAAGGCCCAGGCCTACACCAACTGAAAGGTGACTGGTTGCGGACCATCCTGCCCTCAAGATCATATACGCACTGGGCCCCCATAGGACGTGCATCGCGCCGCCAGCGAATGGGAGCTCCTTCTTGGGTTCCTCCTTTTTGGAGGAGGTCGGAGGCCGCACGTCCTCCGGTACCTGATTGCCTGGCTGAGAAGGATAGTCTTTCGTTCGGAGAAATCGAGACGATGAAAGACGATGTGGGTCATTCTTATTCTGTCCGAACCCTTCTGTTCTTGCCGCTGACCCTTTCTGGGACAAAGACTCGAATCCAAACCTTGGAAAATGATGCTGCTAATTGTGCCCCACCGTTCGCCCTTGTTCTCTCCGCCATTCGCTTCCAAGCAGGCCAGACTCGCTGTGCACCGAATGCCTCCCATGCGAGGGCCGATTGCTCCGCTCGTTGCTGTGGTGTCCGGAGCGCTCGTTGCTGCCATGGTGTCCGGAGCGCTCGTTGCTGCCGCGCTCGTTGCTGCCATGGCGTCCGGAGTGCTCGTTGCTGCCATGGCGGCCGGAGCGCTCGTTGCTGTGATGGTGGCCGTGTCGTTCGTTGGTGGGCTGATTGCTGGCCACCGAGGGCCGTCCTGGAAGGCCTTGTGAGAGCTCTGGATGGGCTTCGGCAAAGGCCTGGCTCTGCGAGGTCGGTGCGCAAGACAGACCCGTCGTTGGGGGTCCTTCCAGGGAGTCGTCAGATGCACCTCTGTGGTCCATAGATCCTGGAGCGTTAACTCAAGATGGCTCAAGTCCATCAGATCATCACATCTTGCCATGACTGCAGTCCACGAGTCCACACATGGTGGAACTTCCTACCTTACTGATGCGGAGGAGAGGAGTCCAGGCGCATCTGGATCTGGGCACGTGTCACGTTCTTAAAACCAGCCCAAAGAGATTGGATCTCCAGCCCCCGCATGGTTTGGATCCAGTCACGAGACTCGACCACGGAAAGCACGAGGTCAGGAAGTTCCGGACCTCTTCGACCAGGTGTTTTGGCCGTAGCCAGCTAACTCCCTCAATCAGGATTGCATGCAACAGAAAAAGAGAGAGAGAGAGGGAGATCAAACATCTACTATTTGAAAGGGCTCTCTTCGATCGAATCCTCCAAACCGGTTTTTCTGGCAAGGTCCCCAAAGAGTTCAAGACAGACAGCTCCACACAGAAACATGGTTCCTTTGGAATCATCAACTGAAAAAGGAACCGTTCAGGGAACCTCCCCCAAACCTCCCCAGGCCATCCATCTATGGAATATGTACGTACATTAACCATCAAAACGTGAGAAAATCATCCCAACCGATCGGCAGTGAAAATGTTCCATATCTACCTAGAACATCCTAGAACCTGATTGACCCCTGCTTTGGAGAAGCCACAAATGGTCTTTTCTGGTCAAAACAGGGATCAAATGGGTTCTAGGGTATGGATGGTTCAGCTCCCGTCCCCAAGTCGCCCCCCGGAGTCTCACACCGGACCTCCGCCCGGAGGCTTGCCCTTGAGACGCGCCGATTCGTGCGCGTGGTGCCCTCCTGCAGACAGAGAGGTCGGTCGAAAGCATGCATGGCCAAGGGCGGAATCTATGGCTTGGAGGAAGATGAAAGGCTTCGCCCTGGTCACTTGGCTCCGTGAGCTTCGTGAACCCATCCCATCCAGTCCTACTCAGGCGCCTCAGTCGCATGGCAGGCCCTTCAGGTCCGACGCATCGGCCGGGGTCCTTCTTCGACGGCCCCGGCCCCGTCGTCCCGGCGCCTCCATTGCAGCCGCCTTCCGCAGCGGGTCCTCTCCGTCCTCGTCGAAGGCAAACAGCACGGCACCCTGCTTCCTGTGGGCGATGTCAATCAATTCCCGGTTTGACACCCGAGTTCGGGCTCGCCGAAGTGGTCCTTCTTCGGCCCAGTTCGAGCCGATTCCGTCCCGACCAGTTCGCTCGGAACCTGTCGCGTAGCCGAGCGCGATCTGCGGCATCAGCGTCCAGGAATCGGAACACCGGCTTTTGGTGTCACAAGGGGGTGAGTAAGACGTGATTCTCGACTGATCTGAACACCAGGTGGTCGTTGGTCCTCACCCCACTTGTGACACCAGTCACTTCCTATTTTAGGCAGTGGTGTCATCTTAAGATCGGATCCGCTGATGCAGTGGCTCTTGTCGCGGAGTTCAAGGGAACATATTACATGTTCTGTAACATACCTGGACCTTCAAGGGGTGGTGAAATTATTGTACACTCCTTAACAGTTATAAGTGGCTATTCTGCATCATATGACCATGTCACACATCACTGTTTGGATACTGCAAAAAGGACTCGGCCAGGAAGGGACCCGACTTCTCGAATCCCATCGGTCGTCTTCCCGTCGTCGACCCGCCACGTCCAGTGTGTGGCACCCGAGCACCGAAGCGACGCGTGAGCGGAAGGTTCTGACCGAAGCGAAAAGAA